TTTAATAAAGATGCTTATATTCCCACTTCTCTTATCTTTGCATGGAGTCTATGTGACTTCAAAGGGACTGTTCTACTTTGAATGAAAACATGGGGAAGAAAGGAATGAGAATCTGGCTAATAATATAGCCCATAACTTGTATTTTTACTGTTTTTACAAAGGGTTGTACTGGTCTGCTCTAGAGGCGGAAATTTGGCCTTGAGTTCTGGTGTTCAAAACTCGGTTTTTGCTTAACTGTGAATGAAAAATCCCCAGTGTCTTACAAAATTAGTAGCAGAATGGTATTTTTACTAATCAGTTTGGAGATGAAAAAATTGAAGACATTTTAAAATTCAAAACCCATCAGCGTATTGTTTTGTCTTTTAATTGGCAAAAAAATGGGTCATGAGAACAGCCTAAAGATATGATTTTTTTCTTTCTGCTCTTTGGGCTGAACTACAGCTGTAAATTTCTTTGAAAAGGAAAAAGGGAGGCAGTGTTTCTTATAAACTACTGAATATATTTTATAAGTGCAGTAATTCCCACAAAATCAGTTACTGGAGTTAATGATCAGTTTGTTAAGGTATTAACTGCACTCAGCTGGGAGTGACCTATTTGAAGGGGGATGGCTGCACAAATGCTAAGATATTCAGTAAAACTTTCAAATAATGATCCAGCTAATTAACGGTGAATTCCTGTGGAAATCCTATGGAAGTACTTATAACCTGTGCATTTAATGGCCAGTGAGTTCATCATGATTCATGTTTATTACCATAAATACCAAAGGAATCATAGTGACTAAGCCATTTTTTTTTCTATCCTGCCCTTATTACTTGAACTGATTTCACTAATCTACCTCTGGTCATTAAGAAACTAATTCTCAAAATAGTCAATCTTTTCGTTGTTCTGCCTGAAATTCACAGAGCCTTTGGTGCCATGCCAGCATGCCAATTGTTGGCAGCCTGTTTTAACTTGGGGTGCCATTAGGGAATAATTGATGTCTATTAGTCTTAAAGGAGACCTTTTGAAATGCCTGCCAGTTTTGTAGGATGTGGAGGAATCATGACTGGTTAGCTATGGTTTATGGTTTCTAGCCATGAATTCTTATGAGAAAATCATACCCTCCAATCCTGTCTTTGTAGGAATTCATTTAGGATATGTAATTTTTTCCCTGAAGTTTATTTTTTTAAGAATTTAGATATCCTAGTGAATGAAGACTATTTATTAGCTTGTAGTAAAAAGTAAGTTCTTAATTTTACTTGGCCCATTCAATCTCTCAAATCACTGTTTATTGCTACATGATCTGTATATCAGCCTTTAAGTAATAATAAATGTTGGCTGCTGGTAAGACTTTATTTTCTGTGCTTGGGTTTAAATGAAAAATCAGGTTATATTTCCAGACATCTTCCCATTCCACATACTTACTTTTGTCCTAAAATACTTTGTCATTTTGTTGTGGCTATCAGCCATCTTCTAGATGTCATGAAGTTATAGACTGCATTTTTATTAAGAAATTAATCATTTATGAGAATAAGATACCTGTGATTATGTACTACAATTTTCATTCATATATTTCACATTCTAGAAAGAAAAGGAAATGCTGTGATTTGTAACACCAAGATACGAATTAAAATCAGGAAAATAACATCTGGGGAACAACAGTATTTATAAAGTATTACATTTTTTGGAATGAAGAGCTAGTTTGAATGAGTATGCACCTTGCATTCCCTAAGTAAATAATAAATGGGGAAAATAGTTGTGCAGGTATTTGTAAATTTATTGTTTGAATTCAGAGGGACTCTTTACCCAGAAAGAATGCACAAGACATCAGCAGTTTGGCTTAGATAAATGTCTGAATATAATATTATGGTCCCTTAGATCTGTCATCACTTCTTTTCACACTTTCCTCAAATAAAAAAAATATGTCTGATGCAGCACCGGACACATTCCTGTTTCTTTGGTCCAGCTGTGTTGAGACCAAACACAAAGGGATACCTCTGTGCTATAGTAAGCAGGGTAGCTAGTTATGAGTTTTATCTCAGACTTCTGTTTGTCTCTTGGTAACCCACCACCACTGTAACCACTACCCACTCTTAACAGTGAAAACAAGTACCATTACAAATATGAAAGCAGAAGGAGAAATTTGTCATTTGTGTGTAGAAGCCAGTTGGGGAGGAGTTCATTTTCTTCTCTCAATTTTTAATAAGGACTATATGAGAAGGAGAGGATGTTGAAGGTGACCCTTCTTAGATAAGGGTCACTTTAGTGGGGCCAGGAGTGTAAGATGACTTGCTAAGCCCATGCATTTGGAATAGCAGAGCTTTATAAGAAACTGACTGTAAGCAGATCCCTCTGAACCCATCTAGCTGACCCCAAAGAAATCTTGGTTGCTTCCCAAATGTACTTGACTTCTAACCATACTTTTTTTTTTTTAATTTTAAAAAGGAAAAGTTTCAGAACACGATATTAGGGGGTAACAATGGTATATACACTGTGTATCGTTGTCTTCAATTCAGTTACTCAGAGTACAGGATATCTACACTGAATTGTCCAAACAATACTAGTACTAACTTTGCTCTTCAATGAGCTCAGAAAAATTAGTAGTGTAACTACCTTAACTATCTTTTGTGTGTACAGTTTCTTTCAGCTTCTCACACTAGTGAGACAATACAGTGTTTACACATTCGTGTCTGATGTATTTCATGAATGAGTATGGTCTCAAGTTACATCCATTTACTTATAAAAGTCTCAAGTTTATTCTTCTTTATGGTTAAGTAGTACTCCACTGTATAAAAATACCACATCTTTTTTATCCATTCCTCAATGGATGGGCATTTAGGTTGTTTCCAAGATCTGGCTATTACAAATTTTGCTGCTATAAACATGGGTGCACATATATCAGTGTGGTATGATGTTCTCAATTCTTCTGGGAAGATAGAAGAAGAATAGCTGGGTCAAATTGGATGTTCAATCCCAGCTTTTTGAGGAATCTCCACACTGATTTCTGCAGTGGTTGCACGAGTCTACGTTCCCACCAACAGAGGAGCAAGGTTCCTTTCTCCCCACAGCCCCTCCAGCATTTGTTATTGGTTGATTTCTTAACAATAGCCATTCTTTCTGGGATGAGATGGAACCTCAATGTTGTTTTAATTTGCATCTCTGGAATGACCAGAGATGTTGCCTGTTTTTTTCATATATTTGTTTGCAGTTCGTATTTCTTCATCTGGTAAGTGGATTGGGTCTTTAAATTTGGGAAGACTAATATTTTTTAGTTCTTCGTATGTTCTCAGTAGTAATCCTTTGAGAAACAGCTGGCAAAGATTTTCTCCCACATTGTGGGTTGTCTTTTCACTCTATTGGTGGTTTCTCTTGCTATGCAAAGCATTTTAGTAAGATGAGACCCCAAGTTGTTAATTCTTTGTGATAGTTTCTGTGCAGTTGAGGTTTTATACTCATAAATTCTTTACCTACACCTGTGTCTTCAAGAGTTTTACCTACTCTGTCTTCCAGCAGATTTATTGTTTCTGTTTTAATATTTAGATCTTTGATCCATTCCAAATTTAGTTAGCGCATGGTGAAAGATAAGGGTCCAGTTTTAATCTTCAAATATGCAAACCCAGTTTTTCCAGCACCATTTATTAAAGAGACTTTCTTCCAGTGAATATGTTTAGCACCTTTGTCAAAGATAAAGTGGCTTAATGAGTCTGGAGTTGTTTCTGCATCTTCTAATCTATTCCATTGGTCTTCTAATCTGGTTTGTTGTTTGTTTGGGTTTTTTTGTGTTTTTGTTTTGTTTTTGCCAGTACTGTGCTGTTTCTGTCACAGTACTTTTATAGTGCAATTTCAAGTTAGGAATTGTGATATCTAGTCTTACCTTTGTTGCCCAGATTGCCTTTAAAATTCTAAGTCTCTTCTGGTTCCAGATGAATTTTAGGATGGTTTTCTCTAATGCTGTGAGATAAGTTCTTGGAATTTTTATTAGGATTGCACTGGATCTGTATAACAGTTTTGGAAATCTGGCCATTTTCCCTATACTGGTTCTTACCTAAGAGCAAATGGAGAGGATATCTCTCCATTTTCTAGTATCTTCTTCAATCTCCTTTTTTGTAATACTATAGTTTTCAATGTAGAGATCTTTTACATCCTTCATTAGATTGATTCCTAGGTATTTCATTTTTTGGGTGCTATTATGAAAGGTATTATTTTCCTGATTAAGTCTGCCAGGTTTTTAGTGGAGTTTTTGGAGTCTTCTATGTAGAGAGCCGTGTTATCTGCAAATAATGATAGTTTAACTGCTTCCTTTCCTATCTTATTTCTTTTATTTCTTTCTCTTGTCTAACGGCTCTGGCTAAAGTTTCCAGACTGTGCTGAATAAGAATAGAGACAGTGGGAATGCTTGTCTTGTTCCTGATTTTAGAGAAAAATCTTTCAGTCTTTATCCATTTAATATGATGGTGGCTGTTGGTTTGTCATAGATAGCTTTTATCAGATTGAGACAGAAACCATCTATTCCAATTTTCTGTAGGATTTTTATCATAAATGGATGCTGCACTTTGTCAAAAGCTTTTTCTGCATCCATTGAAATGATTATATGATTTCTTACCTTGGCTCTGTTAATACAGTGTATTACATTTATTAATTTATGTATGTTGAACCATCCTTGGGTCCCTGGGATGAATACCCAGGTGCATAATCATGGTGCATAATCTTGTGATGATTTTTGCTATATTCTGTTTGCCAGTATCTTAGTGAGGATTTTTGCATCTGTACCCATTAGGTAAATTAGCCTGTAATTTTCTTTCTTAGTTGGATCCTTCACTGATTTTGGCATCAGGGTAATGCTTATTCGAGGAATGAATTTGGAAGTAGTGCTTCCCTTTCAATTTCATTAAAGACTTTGAGAAGTAGTGGTGTTAGTTCTTCTCTTAAGTTTCTTGTAAAATTCAGCAGTGAATCCATGAGGGCCTGGGCTTTTCTTTGTTGATAGGTTTTCACTTACATCTTTAATTTTATTGATTGATACTGGTTTAGTTAGGATGTTTGTATCTTCTTGATTCAGCTTTGGTGATTCATATGTATCTATTCATATGTGTCCATTTCTTTTGTATTTTTCATCTTGTTAGGATACAAGTTTTCAAAGTGTAGGTATAGATGATCTTCTAAATTTCTACAGGGTCTGTTGTGATTTCACCCATTTCATTTTTAATTGCATGAATTTGAGTTTTTTCTTTCCTTTTTTGGATAAGGTTGGATAAAGTTCTTTCTTTCAAAGAACCAATTGTTTCATTCAAATATATTTTTTTGGTATTTTTGTTTTTAGTCTCCAAAGCATTAATTTTGGCTCTGATCTTTATAATTTCCTTGCATATATGAGCTTTTGGCTTAGCCTACGCCTCTCCTTCTAGAAGTTTGAGGTTCACCATTAAGTTGTTCATGTGTGCTTGTGCTGTTTTCCATATATGTGTATTGACTTCTATAAATTTCTCTTTTTGAACTGCTTTTGTATCCCATAAGTTACAGTATGTTATATTATCATTATTATTCAACTGTAAAAACTGTCTAATTTCTTCTTTAAGTGGCCCACTGATTGTTTAGGAGAGTGCTATTTCATTTCCCTGTGTTTATGAAGTTCTTGTGGTTTCTTTTGCCATAGCTTTCCAATTGCAATGCCCTGTGGTCTAATAGTATGCATGGGATAATTTCAGTTTCTTTGCATTTACTTAAACATATTCTGTGAACCAGTATGTGGTCTTGTTTTGGAGACTGTCCCTTGTATAGCTGAGAAAAGTGTACATTCTGATGTTGTAGGGTAAAACACTCTATAGACATCTACCAAGTCCATTTGTTCAAAAGTTTGGTTCAGTTCTGACATTTCATTATTGATTTTTTTTGTCTAGTTAATCTTTTTGATTTTTCATGTCCATTAGTATTTGTATTATATTGTCTGATGCACTAGTATGTGTTGCATCTATATTTATGATTGTTATTTCTTCCTTCTGGATTGTTACCTTTACAAGGATAGTAGTGGCTTTCTTTATCTCTGTTAATCAGTCTTGACTTGAAATTCACTTTGTCTGCAAATAGAATAGCTACTTCCTATTTTTTCTGGGTTCCTGTCTCATGGAGTATTGTTTCCCATCCTTTGACTTTCAGTCTGTGAATTTCTTTTTGAATTAAATACTTTTGTATGCAGCATATTGTTGAATTTTGGTTCTTGATCCATTCTGCCAGTGTCACTTGACTGATGAATTGAGACCATTAGCATTCACTGTTATAACTGAGATATATTATCCTTGTCATATTATTTTCCAGTTCTTGGCTCCGCTGATCTTTTTACCCTTCTAATTGTTTGCCTTCTCTGGTGTATTCCTTGTGTTGGGGTTCATGGAACTGTAGTCCTTATCTCTTTCTAGAATGTCCTTCAAAACATTTTGGAGTGCTGGTTGGCTGATTATAAATTTCTTCAGCTCTTCTTGGTCATGGAAGTATCTTATTTCTCCATCAATTCTGAAAGATAGTTTTGTGGAATACATCAATGTGGGCTGAAAGTTGTTTTCCTTTAGAAGTTGGAACACTTGGACTTTCTGAATAGGAGCACTACAGGCGTCCGAAAGCCCGCACAGGTGTTTAGAGAAAATGGCAGACGATATTGATAAAGCAATGCTTGAGGCTCCTTATAAGAAGGATGAGAACAAGTTGAGCAGTGCTAACGGTCATAAAGAACGTAGCAAAAAGAGGAAGAAAAGCAAGAGCAGAAGTCATGAACCAAAGAGAAGCAAAAGTAAGGAAAGAAAGCATAGTAGACATAGAGAAAGGAAAAAGAGCAAAAGCCGTGAACAGCAGCAAAGCAGAAGCAAAGAAAGGAGACGGAGCCGCTCAAGAAGTTGAGATCGAAGATTCCGAGGCTGCTACAGAAGTACCTACTCCGGACTAAAATTTAACAGTGCAATCCGAGGAAAGATTGGGTTGCCTCATAGCATCAAATTAAGCAGACGACATTCTCAAAGCAAAAGCCCAATCAGAAAAGACAAGAGCCCTCTGAGGGAACCTATTGATAATCTAACTCCAGAGGAGAGAGATGTAAGGACAGTTTTCTGCATGCAGCTGGCAGCAAGAATTCGATCAAGAGATTTGGAAGAGTTTTTCTCCACTCTTCTAGGAAAGGTTCAAGATGTAAGGATGATTTCTGATAGAAATTCCAGACGTTCCGAAGGAATTGCTTATGTGGAGTTTGTTGATGTTAGTTCAGTGCCTCTAGCAATAGGATTAACTGGGCAACAGGTATTAGGAGTGCTAATCATAGTTCCAACATCACAGGCAGAAAAAAACAGAGCTGCAGCAATGGCAAACAATTTACAAAAGGGAAGTACTGGACCTATGAGGCTTTATGTGGGCTCATTACACTTTAACATAACTGAAGATATGCTTCAGGGGATATTTGAGCCTTTTGGAAGGATTGAAAGTATCCAGCGCATGATGGACAGTGAAACAGGTCAATCGAAGGGATATAGATTCATTACATTTTCTGACTCAGAATGTGCGAAGAAGACTTTGGAACAGCTTAATGGCTTTGAACTAGCAGGAAGGCCAATGAAAGTTGGTCACATTACTGAACGTACAGATGCTTCTAGTGCCAGTTCATTTTTGCACAGTGATGAACTGGAAAGGACTGGAATTGACTTGGGAACAACTGGTCGTCTCCACTTAATGCCTAGACTTGTGGAAGGTACTGGTTTGCAGATTCCACCAGCTGCACAGCAAGCTTTACAAATGAGTGGCTCTTTGGCATTTGGTGCTGTGGCAGATTTGCAAACACAACTTTCCCAACAGACTGAAGCTTCAGTTTTAGCTGCAGCTGCCTCTGTGCAACTCCTTGCAACACAGTGTTTCCAGCTGTCTAATATGTTTAATCCCCAAACAGAAGAAGAAGTTGGATGGGATACAGAGATTAAGGATGATGTGATAGAAGAGTGTAATAAACATGGAGGAGTATTCATATTTATGTTGACAAGAATTCTGCTCAGGGCAATGTGTATGTGAAGTGCCCATCAATTGCTGCAGCTATTGCTGCTGTCAATGCATTGCATGGCAGATGGTTCGCTGGTAAAATGATAACAGCAGCGTATGTACCTCTTCCAACTTACCACAACCTATTTCCTGATTCTATGACAGCAACACAACTACTGGTTCCGAGTAGACGATGAAGCAAGACATAGTTCCTTATGTACATAGCTTTTTTTTCCCTTGAGAATTCATCTTTTATTTAGGAAAAAAAAAATAGAAGAGGCAAAAAAAAAAAAAAAAAAAACACCTCTCCTTGACTTGAGAGTTTGTGCTGAGAAGTCAGCTGTTATTCTGATGAGCTTTCCTTTATAGGTGATTTGTTTCTTTTCCCTAACAGCTTTTAAGATTCTAGGAAAGTGGAATCTTGACTATGATCTGCCTTGCTGTAGATTTTTTTTCCGGGGGGGGGGGGGTTGTTCTGTATGCCTCACTTATCTGAATATCAAATTCTTTTTTCTCTACCAGGGAAGTTTTCTGCCATGATGTCTGAACATTTTCTTAATGTTATTTGTGGTATTTTCTGCTTTTTCATTGACTCTAATCATTCTTTAGTTATTTTTCTTTGTCTCATTTAGCAGCTGCTAGATTGATTTCTCTTGCTGTTTTTGAGAAATCTTTTTTTTTCTTGGTCACTAACTACACACCTGTCTTTATTATCTGAGATCCTGTCCTCACAGTGGCCTTATTTACTTTCAATGGAATTTTTATTCTTCTTGATATCTGCTTGAATCTGCTTTATGGATTCCATTTCTTTCCTAAGCTGAGCTTCCATAATTTTCTTAAGCTCATCTATTTTTTTGTCTGTATCTGCTCTAACATCACTAAGCATAGTCCTTATTTTGGACACCATCTCTGTAGTTATCTAAGAGATTATTTCTGATTTCATTTTTTCCAGAGGCTCATTCAGTTGTTTTATTGTTACCACTTTAGAAAGCCCTGCTGGGAGCCTTTCAGATTGTCTCTCCTTATAGCCCCCTGGATTTACCTTTGGTGAACTGGATGTATGGGGTTGCATCTTGTTTAAGTGTCTTATCATTTTCTTTTCTTGTTTAAATTCATTTCCTAGTAAATTGCAAGTAAATTGCATATGATGTGTTGCTTTATTTCTAGTATTTAGAACCCTTAGGTAATGTCTTGGTTACTTTTCTCTTGTTGTTGAGACAAAATACCTGATACCCAAAGTGAAGCAAGAAAAAGTTTATTCATCTCACAGTCTTGGAGAATTCAGTCCATACTCAGCCGGCTCCAAGCTTTAAACGACAAGTGCTAAAGGGCAAAAGAGGGAAAGTACTCCTGCCACCAATCCCAGAGCTAGACAATGACCCAATCACAAATGCTAGATTCAGCCACTTCTATGATTTTATGAGGCTTGGGGGGGGGGGGACAGCTGAACACAAACCATAACAGACAATGACTACTTCTCTGGAGTATGTTCCAGGTGTAGCTAATTTTTGGGTTTTGAGTCAGCTGGAAGATCTTACTACTTCAGTTTATTGTTTGACCCAGTCCCTGGTTCTTTGGCACTGTGCCACAATATTTTCTATGACCCTTAGTCAATCTCAGTCATCGAATACCAGAACCAACCCCTATGTAGAACAATTATGTCAGTTTTGCTATAGTGGTACCAATAGCATCAAACACAGCCTAGAAAATGACAAACTGAGCTAACCCTTAATTTACCACTTTTAACCATATAAACTAGATTTATGGTTATATAACAATCTAAAACACACCAGAAAATTATATGCAGTATACAATGATATATCAATTGATATGCCTATTTTACCCTCAGGGCTTAAAATTTAAAATAGTTTTTGGAGAAGATAGAGAATTGGAAGAAGAAGAGATGAGATATAAAGTTGGAGGACCAAGGGGGATCACACTAACTTTCTACACCAATTTCTACACGGAAACTGGCGTAGAAGACTTGAGGGAAAGAGTAAGGGAAAAGATTAAAACATTAAACAGAACACAACCACAGAGAGGCCAGAAAACATGTTCACACTTACATAAAAACAAGGTCAAATAATAAAGGAGAAAGAAAAGGAAAAAAACATACAAAACAAATGAGAGAGAGGAGGCAGAAGACATGAGGGAAAATAGTCCACTTCCATGTTTGTCCAGGTTTGTCTGTGCTTTTGCTGGCAGGCAATCTATGGAGACACAGTCCTGATATGTAGCTTTTTGGCAGGATGGTGGGTAATCTCAATAAGCCTGCACTTTCTGGTGGAGGCCAGTCAGTTACATTTGGCTCACTGCCTTCTGACCCATTCCGTGGGTCTGAACCATGCTGGAAGCCACTAGAAGGAGCCAGCCACAGTTGGGAGTTTTGATCTCAGGCTGCCCATCTCCATAATGTTTCTAGGCCAATTGTTTTCTCCCATGGTCATAGTGAGACCCTTGCGGTCACCACCAGTCAGTGCAGTCCTTCACGTCTGCTGCTCCCCTTCACGTCCCCTCCCCGCCTCCACTGCTGCATCTCTCAGCAGAGGCTTCCAGGTCACCACCTGTCACTGTCACCATAACTACCTCTGCAGGTTCCATTCGCTTCTCTCACTCAGTGAGTCCCATCTCAAGAGAGAAGGTGCTGCCAGCTACATCCTTCATTGAAGTTTCTCTCTTCATTCTCTCCATGGGCTTCAATTCACGCATTCTTCCTGGGTGCCAGCCACCCACTTTCCTCCTCCTTGTCTTCCTCATGTTGCTATATTCCAGCCTCTGAATGGTGACTCTGAGAGTACTTTGCTGCTTAGCACTCTGCCATCTTCCCAGAATCCCTCCTAACTATAGTTTTGAGGCTAGAAGAATACATTACAACATGTGCATTAGGAACTTACGGTAATATTATTCTAACGGTAAGACAAAATGTTATTTTTGACCTACTAATGACAATAAATTATATCTATTGAATTAGTATACTACTATCAGACTGATAAGTGCTTTGCTAGGAGTCTCCTAATCCTTGCATAACAAACTTTTGAAATAAAGACATTATTCCATTTTTATAGATGAAGAAACTGAAGTACAGAATTTACATAGACTACAAAGCCAGATAGCTAATAAGTGGCAGAACCACAAATTTAATCTGCCTGCCTCCAGAGCAGTTTTGCCCCTGCCAAGAACATTAATCATCCATTGGAACAAACTATCTAGACACAGACACATTCTTCTATTTCATGTCTGAATTTCATCTCCTTGCTTCTCCAGCCTTTGTACTTTCTTTCTCAAGAGTCACAGATCCTAAAACATTTCTTCTAGTAGCATCTGCCTCCTGTTCAGTGTCCTAACGAATAATGTTGCGAACATACTTATCTGGCATTGTTTTGGTTTTTGTGTTAGTTTTTTACGGTCCTGGGGGTGGAGAACTCTAGGGCCTCATGAACACTAGGCAAGTGCTGTGCCACTGAGCTGTATCCCCAACTGTTTGACATTATTGATTTCACTTTTTCTGCTGTCCCTTGGAGGCTTATGAAAAAAATATGTGCATGGGCTGTATAAGTCAGTGCTAGGCTTGAATCTCAGATTCACAGCTGTGTTCTTTTTGAAAGAGTTACAAACCCAGCTGGTATCATTGCCTAGTGTCTAAGTCAAAGAATACTACCTACCTCTTCAGTTGTTGTCAAGGCTAAATCTAGAAAATAAATGTTGAATACATGGCATAGGAGTAATGTCATTGTTTAGCCCTTTCTCTTTGCCCTTCTCTCAAAGAATATTGGTGTTAGAAAGTATAATCGTCTCATAGCCTTGTATCCTTAAGAGTTTCTGTTTCTTTTAGTCCTTTAGTTTTCAGCTAAGTTCTGACTAGTCTTATTTTAGGAAAAGAGAAATTTGGGACATGTTAGGATTATTTTGCTTCTGTGTTTTTTTTTAAACAGAGAATCACAGGTAGAGAAGTATTATGATTGTATGGGGAAGAATTGCAAGGTGGTTTTACCTTTGGCCATGAATATGGAGAGAAAAAGAGAAAGAACATATGAGCAAGTGCACAGTTAGGACTGGTTGCAGTGGAACCACTACATTTTTTGCAAGTAGTTACTTAGTTTTGCTATAGAGTATTTTGTATGGGAACTTTCTCTTACATAGTACTCACCAGTTTATTATAAATTTCTATAACATTAGGATTCCTCACCTCTTGTGTCATTCATATATATATATATATATATATATATATATATAGTACAAAGAGAGAGAAGACAGAGATATACATATATATAGTACAAAGAGAGAGAAGACAGAGAGAACTGGCATTATTGTCCTTTAAAGGGAACACATATTTTTTAATGGCAAATCTTTATTTCCTCTCACTTTATATGTGTGATGCACCAACTAAAAACATTGGCTTTGGAATCTTTTTTATTGACACCAGCAGCAGAAAGACTCCTGAAGCCTAGATGAAAAGCTTTCTATTCTGTTTCAATCTTAGCCCCACATTGGATTTTAATGTTTGATGATTTACTTTGATATTGAAGAATCTTTTATATTGGTTATTGATCTCTCTTTGTTCTTTTTATCATCAAGTAAGTTGCATGGCTTCAAAATCTACTTTTCAGTGAACCCATTGAACATTTGAAAATATTTTCAAATAATATTTTATGAAAATTAAGTAGCAGTACTAGAACTTACCAACAGATAAACCAGAAAAAAAAATGCCCTCCAAGAGAGGGAAGCAACTGATGTTCAGAATGTTAGTTCACTTTAGTATCCTATTTTAAAAGATTTTATAATAGTTCACTTGCTTAAGAGAAACACACACACACACAGTACTTCTATTTGACCATTGGAAAACTATTTGACCAAGACCTAAGATAGTTGCCTCTTTGAGGGAATAGAGTTGAATTATTTTAATTTTTCACCTTCACATTCTTGGAAATTTGTGTAAATATGTTTTCCTATGGGAAATGTGCACGAGGTTTTGGAATAAGTGTAAATGAATGCCTTCAACAATGTAAGCATGATTTATGAAAATCTTACATAATTGCTCTGATCTTAAATAATGTTACAGGTGAAAATTACGTAGTTTGTCCCTACTCGTATTGGAAAAAGTTCATAATTTTTGCATTACTCTTTCCTCTAAATAAAATTCTCAACCTCAAGTATAAATATTATATCTTCTATAGCCATTGACTTATTAATATTCACCCTTAAGATTTTGCATATGACTTTCTCTGATATATCCTAGCTTTATATCTAGGCAAGCACTCTTATCATTGAGCTATACCCCTCTCTCAGAACAACCTAATCTCAGAAATGCTGAGATATTCTTTAGACTATGCTTAATTTTGCATTTTATAGTCATGTATGTTTTTATTTTACAAATAGTTTCTATTTCATCTTTTGAATATTCCCAGTTTTAATTCATAGAAATTGTATGTACTTTTTGTTTAATATTTCTTATACATTGTTATTGTTAAGAGATTGTATTAACCAGATGTTTTGATAAAACACTAATGATGAGGAAGTTATTGACCCACTGTCTTTTATTTTGCAATATGAAAATGGTGCATTTTTAGGGTTGAGGCTAGTTTTTCTCCAAATGTATCCCTGAAAACATTAGTGTGCTCCAAGCTTTGGATTTGAATTAGGGAGCTCCAAATATTTTCCACATTAATGTGTAAGGATTTTACTCAGTAGTTTAAGTTTTAGCATATTAATTTGAGTATGTGCAGAGCATGTGTGTATATACTTAAATGTATCCATTATTTTATTCTTAGGCAACGAAAACTACAAACAAATAGCAATATGTGTGCTTTACCACATAAGTATGGATGACCGCTTTAAATCAATGTTTGCATACACTGACTGTATACCACAGGTAAGTGGTTAAGTGTTTTAACACTTAAAATATGTTCTTTGTTTTGCTTTCTTCTCCTGATTTTTAAGATCTAATTTCCTTAAAAATTATTATTATCACAAATATAAATTTGTTACAGAAAATTTAGAAAATACAGAACTGGGGATACATCTGCTAGCAGAAAACTTGCCTAGCATACCCAGCGTCCTAGGTTCAATGATTAGCACTTCACTAAAATAAAGTACAGGACTGTGACAAAATGAGAATAACTTTCTGTTACCCCAATCCAAGAGACAGCTATTTAAAATTTGGTATACTTTCTTCTATAGATTTAAAAAACGTAATATATTGCAATTCTATTGTCTATATAATTTTGTGTATTGCTTTATTAATAGATCATGCATATACTCCCATTGAATACTCTACTAAAGTTTTTTCCAATATGTAAATGTATTGTTTCCTGAACATTAATTAAATATTGTTAAATTATATGTTTAGATTTTCCTAGCTTATCTCATAAAAACATAAGCAAATGCTTTTCTATATCTATAGATTTTCCTTAAGAACACTTATGTCTTTGACACATTTTGATCACATTATGTTCTAAGAAGGGATACATTTATATATCCAACTATGATTTCACTTTTAACAATAGTAATTATTACTGAGTCTTTAACAATATGGTATTTTTCTGTTTTACATTCTCATGAATATCGGTTACAAGTATTTCTCAATTGTCACATGCCTTTTAATTTTGTTTGTAGTTGATAGTTTTGTATTTGTTTTATTTTAAAAAGCAAAACAAAAATATAGAAATAATACAGAATTTCAAAAAAATAACAGTAAGAAATCAACACTAGTTAATATATTGCATATTACTATCTTTAATAACATTGTTCTCAAGAACAATTTTTTCCTACCCTCCCTCCCTCATTCCTTTCCTATATCTTTTCTCTTCCCTCTGTTCTTTTTCTTTTTTCTTTTTTTTTTTTTTTTTTTTTTTGTGTGTGTGTGTGTACTAGGGATTGAATCCAGAGCATCATACCTACTAAACAGATGTTGTATCACATTCTCAGCCATATTATTTGACACAGCATTTTAGTAAGTTGTCCAGGCAGATCTTAAACTTGTAGTCCTCCTGCCTCAGACTCCTGAGTAGCTGAGACTGTAGTAGGCATCCACCACCATTTCTTCTCTTTTTAATATATTCCACATGGTAGGTCTGTTTGTTTTGAAGAAGCCTACTGACTTTTTTTAAGTCTGTTTTAAGGTTAGAGATTTCATATCTGTGTAGTTGTACTCTTAGGAATATTTATATCCATGGGATCAACATTGTGCGATTAGTCATCACTAAACCAAGCTCCACTAATGTGAATATCTGATGATTGGAACACTAACTATTCTGCTTTTTAACATTATATTTTTATAATTTCCTAAAGTAGAAAAGCAAAATCACATTTCAAAGGGTGTGCTGAAGTATTTGATATATATAATAATGTCTCATTACATTAATTCAAATTGACACCCTTGATTCCAAACTAATGGGACAGGAGTAAGATGGAATTTGCCATTTCTGCATTTTAAAACTTCACATACATGCAGTTAAAAAGAAAACTGATGAGCTCTCAAGGATAATTTCTTAGCCTTTCATATCAGGTGCAAATTAATATAATTGTTTATAAGAAGCAGACATCCTTCAAAGAAAATACAGCACGCCTTACTAACAAGTCAGGCCTTACAGAGATAGGAGTGTCAGACTATAACCGATTCAAAGCATAATCAAATTCTTTGTCAAACAGGTTTTCAATAAAAGAGTAGCCATGTCAAGGGGAGATTACAGATGATTTACTACAGTCTCGCTCCATCTGTTCTAAAGATTTCTGCTTTGGCATTTCAAAGAGTGTTGCTTTTTCGATCTCATTTAGTGTCAAAATTTCATTGACTACAGGATATGAATTGGAAAGCAGCCAAAAAGAAATACAGTTCTTGCACAGATTCATTGATTTATCACATTTAAATTTTTTAAAGAACAATACTAAATAAAAGAAAAATGAGTCCAAATTAAGAAGGAATATAAAGCTTAACTGCATTGCATCTTGAATTTGGTGTTGTCCTAGCCTTTTAGAATGTATAAAGTCAAATATGAAATATAAAGCTTTATGATTAATAAATAATAACCATGTTTAGACTACTTCTTAGACATCATTCTTATTGCCATTTAAAAGTTTGTGTGTACAGCTTCGCCATACAGTTTCAATAACAGAATTCCTCCATGTTTTCTTGCCAGACAGTTTTCTAACATCAGATATGTCAGCAGTGGAATTTCCAGAACATTTATAATCTGTATTTCATGAACAAAATTTTCCAAAACACATTTAGGGCTCAAGGTTTTTTAGTTTATTCTAATTTCAACTCTTATTGGAATACTGACGTTATGCACCAAATTATGTTGTAAATATCCTAAAGCTGTTTAGTATAAGGCAGTATTTTGAGAAAACTAAATAATCTAGAATGTTTGTACCTAAAGTGCCATCTAGCCTATAACTTACACTTCACAGTGCCCAGTTTTTACATGATATTTAGGCAAATGTTGGCGTGATTTTATTTATACCTAATGCCAAGTTCATTGCAAAATAAGAGAATGATGGAAAGCAAAACAGAAATTAGGTAAGATTTCTTTTCCTTTCAGAAGTACTGTTAGTAATCTCTAATGAGGCTTCAACTTTACTATTAACAGCCTCTGATTAACCTGCTTATTAAAGAAAGCCATATCAAGTTTGAGTTGAGAGTTAATATTTTATTTCCTTGAATTATGCATATTAATAATTATTTAGTAAAGATCTTCAGGTATTGTTTATAACTGTTGTCAAAAAGAAACCTAAAATAACTTTGAATGTAGGAAGGCAGAGGCTCAGTTGTATTGAACAATAATTTATATGATCAAAAAGAATGCGGGAACATGATTATTCTTCATTTACATCTGATATTATATATCGGCTTTATAAACTCTAAGTCACTATTCAAAATTAAGATACTCAGTAAAACATTATCTTTTTCATCATTTTAACCCACTCATAGCCTATTTTAAATATTACCTTTCTTACATAGTTTGTGTTTTATGAAATAAACCTATAATTAGAGTTAATTTTTTTAAAAATTTAACATCAAGAATAGTTGACAATACATAAAACAGCCCTGCAATATTTCTCAAAATTGTACTGCTTTGTTGTCTGTGTACTTTATTGTCTCTAATTACCAATGTACTCTTAATTTTCTTTTCTCATTTGTCACTATGGCAAAATTTGGGGACCAGGTTGAGTGTTGCTTTGTACATGGTCGTAATGGTCTCAGTAGGTAGACTGTTTCAGGTAAGCATATGTGGGATAGCCGGGAGTTAATGGTTGTATTCTAATAATAGTTAAAAGTACACATTAACAGTTCATTGTTATTTAGACCTCTGTATGTTTTGTTTAAATAGGTGCAAATGCCATCCAGATGCTTATAAAAGTATTTATTGGCAGTAGAACAGCCAATCAAAGTACATGGTTAGGTAGTGATGTCATGGTGTTATTTAATATTTTACTCTAGAACAGTGTGCAGGAGTCTTCGTGGTGATCCACATGCCGTCCACCACACTTGTCCTATTTGGCCTCTCTTTGATCTGTAAGCTTTTTTTTAGCTGAATGCTGGTAAACGTCCTTTCTGACAGCCCCCTTGCTCTTGCTGCCATTATCTGCTGAAGTTCAGAAACCAGAGCATCACTTCAAACAAGGGAGCGAGGGAGTAGCCAGTCAGAGGAGATTCCGGAGGCAGGCGAAGGTCTGGCATAATCATTCAAAGATGTTGGGGCAGCGCGGCGGGGGTGGTGGAGGTGTACGTGAATGCTGAGAGCGGTGGGGGTTGCCCTCTGGTCAGTGGTAAATAAGTGAAGGCAGGTGCCAGAGAGTCTAGACACAGTGATTTCAGTCCTGGGTCTTTGGCATCTGATACCCAACGCGGGACTTGGCTGATTGAACACTATGGCATCTTCACTGCCCAGGCTGAAGCCCTTTTAGCGTTTTCCTGTGAAATTAGTAAAAGATGACAGCAGACATGGCTAAAACAGAGCAAATCGAGTTTCAGTGTTTCCTAGTTGTTGGCAGCTTCACTTACTTTTGAAGTATGATGGGTAGTAATCAAAGGCAGGGTTTCACTGTTGGGCTTGGAGTTTCGGTGAACTTGTTTTTAAATTTGAATGCTTTAATTAAAACTGAATGTCTCTTTCTATGAAAAGCTAATTCTGTATTTTGATACATTCCTTTCATATTTAGTCCTCATTTCTCAGAGTTTTGAGGATGAGGATTGGGTAGGTTTTCAAACTGTGTAATAGTATTTTAAAGTGGAGTTTCTAATTATTTCTGTATGAGGTTTCACATGGAAATGTTTTTAAAAATCAGTTTTCAGGGGAAGTTCTCGTACTACAAAGGCTAACTTGATATAATTTATGCTATCAATAAATATTTTGCCTTGTTAAACCATTGCTTTAATGTAACAAATTTTCATTATAAGGTTTTTTAGTATTAGTCAAACTTCAGAAGAAATCTTTAATAAGTTCTAAATTGCAGTATGGAAAACATACTAATTACAGTAGAAGATTGTCACCTACATTTTTTCTAATTTGTAATTTAATTTCTATTCACATTTGTTATTAGCTGATATAGAAGTAAAGTAAGATTTTCAAAATCTGTTAAATATATGTACAGAAAATTAAGATTACTTTATTTTTGCCATAGAATCTTTTTATTCTACAGCATTATTAAGTAATAATGTTTCTCTATCCAAAAATTCCTTACTTGGCCACATGGTGGGTAATCTGGGAGAGAGCATGATGTATGCCAAACATTTGGCTGCTGCCACGCTTTATAATTTTCAGCGTATAGATTACTACATTTTATTAGAATTGCACTTATCAGTTGGAATGGTATTTACTTTTTATTTCAATTTCCTGTTATTCATTGCTAGCACATAGAAAATATTGCTGATATTGTGTATTGTTTGTATCTTTCAAACTCAGAAGTTATTTGGAACTAGCCCAGAAAACAATCAAAACAAGACTCAATAAAATAGGGTCTAAAATAAATATTTATTATTCATTTTCTGTATATAAAGCAATATACCTGATTCATGAAGACTTGCTGTCCTAAAGGGTATAGCTCTGAGATAAAACATGGAAATTTTGAGTTTATAAAACTTAGAAATAATTTCTGTATGTTAGTAATTTGGACTTAGAGAAAAAATAGATTTACATGATATCTTCATGTACTATATACTCTGTTAATGTGATTTTCCAATAGCAGATTAACTTTTATGAAGCATTGCATAAAGATTATTTCTCTTTTTTTATTGCAGTGGTCTCTCATCATGATAAATTTAGCTTACTACTATAGGTAGCCTACCTTTTCCTACTTAGCTTTTGGTTTGCTACTTCTCAGACCCTTCTTTGCTTTCTTTTATAATTAAATAGAATTCTATTCTCATTTCATACCCATACCCAACTTACTGAATTCAGCCTGCAGCTTCAGTTAGCAATAACACAAGACAATTCCTGACATTATACATCCAGTCTAGATATCTCCTCTAAACTCAGCCCTACATTTATAACTTTCCACTGAGTATTCTGCACTAGACTGTCATAGACAATAGAAACTCAACATACCTGAACTAAAAGCACTATCTTTCTTTTAAGACTCTGTCCTACATTGTGGGGGGGGGGGTAGTACTAGGGTCTGAACCTAGTGTCTTGCCATACCACCAAGGTACATCTCCAGCCCTCTGCTATCTTAATTAGCTTTTCTTGTTATATATTAGTTCCACCATCCATTTCATAGGTCAGTACAAGATCCTTGGGGTCTTACATTTTTTTTCCTTAACCCCAACATCTACTCAGTTGTAAAATCCCAGTTTGATTCTTTCTGCTAAACATATCTTTGATCAATCCATTATATTAATCCTCATTGGCCCACCTTGTCTACACAGGCATCATCTCACTTGGACTTTTCTTGTAGCCTCCTAGATCCCATGTTATGATTGTGATTTAGTCTGCTTGTTACACTGGCCTGATCTTTTGGGGATACAAATCTTAACTAGACAGTTTCCTATTTGGAAACATTTTAATAACTTCCATTTATCCTTAGATGAAGCCCCAAATCCTTAACATGTAGTATTTCAACACCCCGTCTTACATGGTTTTTGCCTTCTTCTCAGCCATTTATTTTCTACCCATGCTCTGTTTTGATTCTGTAGAACCATTGTATTCCTTTCTGTATTGGGTCCTTTGTATAAGCTGCTTTCCTTACATGGAATGCTCAGCTTGCAAGTAATTCCTTATGTGCAGAACTATTACCTGATATTTTTCTTCTATTTTCCACTGTACCTGGAAGTTTATATTTATACAGGGCATCTAGTAGTTCATTATCTAAATACTCATTCGGTTATTGAACACCATTTCAATTTTGTGTTGAAATATAGATTATATTATTTTCAATGTTAAATCTAAGATACAACATTTTATGATTTTTTTAGTAATATTTGTTCTGTTCTTTTTGTTAGTTAATGAAGATGCTCTTTGAATGCTCAGATGAACGAATTGATTTGGAACTCATTTCTCTCTGCATTAATCTTGCTGCTAATAAGAGGAATGTACAGCTGATCTGTGAAGGTTAGTGCCTGTTAGCTTCCCAGGTAACCTCATTAGCACATGATAATTGAATTTGATGGAAAATAGATACTAAAGAACTCAGAATTACAGTGAACTTCTAAATCTTACTTACCTAGGAATTATAATAGATACCTAAATCACTATACTTAAACAGTTCTTAAGAGTCACATAAGATATTATGTCATAAATGGAGACACCCTTCAATAACATTTTATAAACTAAAGTATCATTGATTAAATTTTGATTTTTAAAACATTTTATACATAAAATGAAGCTTCCATTTGTGAAACAATTGTCTACCGTGAAAGATAATAAAATATAAGTGTAATAGGTTATTGTTTCTATGTCTTAGTAGAATGTAGTACATATTATGATGTTTCAAAGAATACTTTTCTTTAACAAGTATGAGATGTTCATTATAAAAATTACAAATGAACAAATAGGAAAATACTAATCTTTTTTTTCAGGCTTGTCAGTTACCATTTTCTTTATTGTGGAAAAAAACAATAAGCTTGTCTTATTTTTGGGCTTTTTTTATTTGAAGAAAAAAGAAAAAAAGACAAAACAAAAAAGGGTAGAAATAATACAGAATTTCAAAAAAAAATACTAACAGTAAGAAATCACTAGTGACAAATTACATATTGTCCTCTTAGAAATAGTTGTTCAAGTTACAAAATCAAAGCATAAAAAGTGGACACACTCAAACATTGACAGTACAAAGCTGTTCAGTGATCCAATGAAAACAGTAATATGATCACCTATCTTACACACTTAAGCATACGTACAGTTATATCCTTTAGAGCACTTTCCTTCCCTTTCATTTTTACAATATCTATTATACATTTTGGATCTTATTACTCTTTCAATTTTTATTATTTTTTACATTAGAAAGACAATGTGATATTTACAAATGTGAGTTTTATTTCACTCATGAAGATAGTCTCTAGTTGCTTCCATTTACCTATAAAGACCTCAAGATTATCCTTTTTATAGCTGAGTAATATTCCATTGTGAAAAAATACCACATCTTTTTCATCCGCTCTGCAGTTGATGGGCATTTTGGTTGTTTCCAAGATTTAGCTATTACAAATTGTGCTGCTGTAAACATGGGTGCACATATATCACTGTGACATGATCTTTTCAGTTTTGGGGGGAAAATACTCTGGAGGGGAATAGCTAGGTTGAATGAAACTTCTAATCCTAGTTTGTTGAGGAATCTCCATACTGATTTCCACAGTGGCTGAACCAGTCTACACTCCCACCAACAATGGAGCAGTGTTCCTTTTTCCCCACAGCCTTGCCAACATTTGTTATCAGTTGATTTCTTAATGGCAACCATTCTTTCCAGAGATGAAATCTCAATGCTATTTTAATTTGTATTTCTCAAATGACCAGTGACGGTGACCATTTCTTCATGTATTTATTTGCCATTTGTATATCTTCACCTGAGAAATATGTGTTCATCTCAGATGGCCATTTTTTAAAACGATCTTTGAATTTGGGGAGCTTGATGTTTTTCAGTGCTTTATAAATTCTGGATATAAGTCCTTTGTCTGAGGGATTGTTGGCTAAAATCTCTCCAATTAGGTGAGGTTTTTTTCACATTGTGATTTCTTTTGAAGTTAAAAAAAAAACTTTTTAATAATATGAGATCCCAGTTGTTGATTCTTTGAAGTACTTTCCATGCATTTTGCATGTTGTTCATGAATTCTCTGCCTACCCCAATGCCTCCAAGATTTCTACCTACCTTGTCTTGCAGTAGATTTAGTGTTTCTGTTGTAATATTTAGATCTTTGATCCATTTTGACTTTAATTTAGTACATGGTGATAGGAATGAGTCTAGTTTCAGTCTTTGGCATATGGAAAGCCAATTTTTCCAACACCATTTATTAAAGAGGCTATCCTTTTTCCAGTGAACATGTTTAGCCCCTTTGTCAAATACAAGGTGGCCGAGTGTCTTTGTAGTTGGGTTTGCGTCTTCTAATCTGTTCGGTTTATCCTCAGGTCTATTTCTTTGCCAGTATCATGCTAATTTCATCATTGTGACTTTGTAGTATAGTTTCAAGTCAGGAATTGAGATGCTATATGCCTTGCCTTTGTTGCCTAGAATCATCTTTGCTATTCTAGGTTTCTTCTGTTTCCAAATTTTGGAATGTTTTCTCTAAATCTGTAAGGTATATGAATGGTATTTTGATTGGGATTGCATTAAATCTGTATAACAGTTGGGAGTGTGGTCATTTTCACAATGTTGGTTCTTCCTAAACCAAGAGCAAGGAACATCCTTCCATTTTCTAATATCCTCTTCAGTCTCTTTTTTTAGAGTAATACGATTTTCAGCATATAGGTCTTTTACATTCTTGGTTAGGTTGATTCCTAGGTATTTCATTTTTTTAGATGCTATTGTGAAAGGTGATATTTCCATAATTTCTCTCTCAGTGAGTTTTAATTTGTGTACAGGAATGCTATTGATCTTTGAGTGTTGACTTTGTATCCAGCTATGCTGCTGAATTTGTTTATTACCTCTAGGGAAAATACTAAATCTTTTAATCGTCCAGAAATATGTCAAAATAAAATGTGATTTTCCTGTGTGTGTATATACATATAATATATATATATATATATATATATATAATAAAGTGTTCTTTTAAAATTAATATCTTGAAGTGTTTCATCCAACAACATTTTACTCAGCAACACACAGAACTTTTCCAACATAGACCCCAATTTAGGCCATAGATAATATCCTTATATAAATATGAAACAACCAAAGTAATCCCCTGCATTCTATCAGATCTACAAATTAACACCAAAAGAAACCACAGAAATTATGCAAATAATGGAGATTAAAGGATAAATTATTGAATAATCAGCGAATCAGAAAAAATCGAGGAAGAACTCAAAAGCTCATAGAATCAAATGACAATGAAAATACATGCAACATACCAAAACCTATGGGACCCAATAACAGTGCTAAAAGGGCAGTTTATAACTATAAATGCACATATTGAAAGAGTAGAGCTGTCCTAAGTAAATGATCTATGGATTTATCTCAAACTCCCAGAAAAACAAGAATAATTCAAATGCAATAATAGTAACAGGAAAAAAATTTTAAAGATTAGAATGGAAATTAAGACATTCTGAGACAAAAAAAATACAAAGAATCAATGAAAGGTAGTTGGTTCTTTGAAAGGCTATACAAGATAAATTCCTAGCAAAATTTTCCAAAAGAAGGGAAGGAAAAACCTATATTGGTGTAATTAGAAATGAAAAATGCAAAATAATATCACACATTGCTGAAATCCAGGGACTTACAAGAAACTACAAAACCTTACCTCAAAACTGATAAAAGTTGTTTATGACAGATCTGTCATCATCAGACTCAATGGAGAAAACCTGAAAGAATTTCCTTTAAATTCAAGAATAATTCAAGGATTTCCACCATTACCACTCCTCTTCAATATAATACTTAAAACTTTAGCAAGAGCTGTAAAACAAAAAAAAAAAAAAAAAAAAAAAAAGAAGAAGAAAAGAAAAGAAAATGATTTGAACGGGAAAGGAAGAAATCAAATTGTCATTAATTATAAATGACCTGGTCCTTTACATATAAGACCCAAAATTCTCTACCAGAGATTTTTAGAACTAAGGAACAAGTGCAGCAAACAATCAGGATTAAAAAAATCAATACACAATATCCAGTAGTGTTCCTGCACACCAACTGTGAATCCACAGAGAAAGATATCAGGAAAATGATCCCAGTGGGGTAACTTCAAAACAAATTAAATACCTAAGAATTAACGTAAACAAGGAAATGAAAGACCTGTGTAAGGAACATTGTTGTACACTGAAAAAAGAAACTGAAGAGGTCGTTACAAATTGGAAAGACAACCGCTATTCCTGGATAGTAACCAGTAATTGTCAAAATAGCCATACTATCGAAAACATATAGATTTATACGGAACCAAAAGATACCCAGAATAACAAAAGCAATCCTGAGCAACAAGAGCATAAGTAGGAAGTGTTATAATGCCAGATTTTAAGTTATCTTACAGTAATCAAGATAGCATTGTACTGGGCACAAAAACATACTGGAGGGACAATGGAATGGATTAGAGGTTATGGAAACAACTCCAGACACATTGAGCAATCTGATCTTTGACAAAGGGGCCACACACGTGCATTAAAGAAAAGATGGCCTTTTTAACAAATAGTGCTGGGAAAACTGGTTATCCACACGCAGAATGAATCTTGACCCGTATCTCTGCTTCTGTACTAAAACCAAATCAGAATGGATCAATGGCCTAGATATGAAGATGGAAACACTGAATCTGCTAGATGATGAAATAGGTAAAACTCTTAAAGACAAGCATGTAAGCAAGGACTTTCTGAACCGAACCCTGGTTACACACACACACACACACAAAACCTTGACAATTAACAAATGGGATTATAGCAAATGAAAAGCTCTATACAGCAAAGGAAGGAAATAACAGGCAGAAGAATCTACAGAGTAGGAGAAAAAATTCTAGCTACTTCTTGGACAGAATTGATATCTTGATTATATAAAAAACTGCAAATATTAGATCCTCAAAAGAACAATCATATATGGGCAATTAAAATAAACACTTCTCAAAAGAAGAAGCACAGATGACCAATATATGCAAGAAAAAATGTTCAGCATCTTTGGCATTAGAGAAATGTTGTCAAATCAAAGCAACACTAAGATTCCATCTTATTCCAGGAAAAAATGATTATCATCAAAAACTTACAAACCAACCAATACTGGTGAGGCTGCAGGGAATAGGAATCCTTCTACACTGTTGGTGGGAATGTAAACTAGTTCAACTACTATAGCAATCAGTATGGAGATTCCTAAAAAAGTTAGAAATAGTAATTACATTTGACCCAGCAGTGTGCTTCTGGATATCTTCCTGAAAGAGTTAAAATCACAACTGTTATAATGATACACTTTGAGACCTTAATGTTACGAAATGAGTCAGACACAGAAAATTAAGTATTGTACAGTTTCTCTTTTATGAGAAACCCAAAGTGTAAATAAAAAGCAAATTGAAAATTAGATGATAGGAAACAGAGGTAGACCTTTTGCAGACAGGAACAGGATCTAGGAATGGAGGAAAAGAAGGATAAGGAAATAGAAAATAAAAACTTGTAGAGATGTGATATGTATGTGTAGCAACTTCCTGAGATGAATTTATCCATTACATATGGCAAACATGCACTAACAAAAACTTAAACACCTAAGAACATGTATTATGGGGGCTGTTACGGTGATATGTGCATACCCATGTTTATAGCAGCACCACTCAGAGTAGCTAAACTTCAAAAGCAAAATACATGCCCAACATCAGAATGAATAAAGCAAAGTCATATATAGACACACTGGAGCACCACTCAGCCATGGATAAGTTTGAGTCATTTATAAAACAGTGGATGCATCATGAGACTATAATGCTTAGTCAAATAAAATCAGACACAGAAGATTGATGAGTTTGTTATTTCTTTTTCGCTACAAATAGTGGTGCACTAATTATCCCTTCTCTGTGTCTTTATGCATTTCTAGTCATATATTCTTAGAAAAAGAAATCCTAGAGGTCAAGTGTTTCTGGTTTAAAATTGTTTTTAAAATTTGTGGTGCAGCAATTTGTAGTAGCCAGATCTTGGAAACAACCTAAGTGTCCATCAACTGAGGAATGAATAAAAAAGTTGTGGTATTTTTATACAATGGAGTATTACTCAGCTACAAAAAATGATCACATTGATATTTATAGATAAATGGATGCAACTTGAGACCATACTCATAAGAAATAAATCAAACTCACATGTATAAATGCCATATAGTATCCCTAGTGTAAGAAATGGTAAGAGTACTTAAGAGTTTATGGTAATCATCATTTCCCCATTACATTGCTTTGAAGCCTTATAATGTTTGCATTCATTAGTTGGAATGGTTTTATCTTGGTTTGTTTGATTTTATTATCTGTGATAGTATGAACAGCATTTTGAAGAAAACAAGACATTAGAATAGCCATTGTTGATTTAATATCATCTTACTCTGAAGTCATACCATGCTTTTGTTCTTCTGTTTCCATTGATTCTATCATATTGTACCTTATTGGAGTTTATTATATGTAATAGTATAAACAAATTTTCTATGAAAATGAGATAATATAGTAGCCATTATTCATTCTCTGTTATTTGGTTCTGAATGCCCTGCAACACTTTCATTCTCTTGAATAGTTTTATACTATTTGGTTATGTTTGATACTATTGTATATGAAGTTATGCTCAACTATTTCAAAGAAAGAGACATTATGATAGTTACTGTTAATTACAGGTTGTCTTGTGGTGAAATACTGTGTTGCTTACATTGTTCTGATCTGCTTTGTTATGTCCTCTTTTGTCTTAATCTCTTTAAAATAAAAAAAATTTTTTAAAAAATAAACATATCCTCTGATAGTGCAAAAAACAAAATTGTGGTGCAGGGCTGGGGATGTAACTCAGCAGCAGAGCACCTCCTGGAAAGCACCAGGCCCTGAGTTTGATTCCAGGTACCAAAAAAAAAAAAAAAAAAAAAAGAAAAATTTTGATGCCTACAGCAGACATAAAAAGACACACAATGTTTGAGTCTATTAATATGAAGATCTAGATCACACAGAATTAATCTGTATTTGAAAATAGGAAACAGTAGGAAAAGAAGAAGAAAACAAATATAATTGTATCTGAGGAAGAGGATTGACTGGGAGGGGACTTTCTAGAGTAAATGGAGGTACTCTGTTGAGATGGAGCATGGGTTGTGCAAACGTGCATCTAAGTTAATGAAGTTATAGAGTTAAGGTTGTGCATTTTACTGAACATACATGCTGCTTTATAATGATTCATAAAACCATGAGACTTGAAGTAGCCTTAGTTTTAATGAGGAAATGTTCTGTTTTCTATTCTAGGAAATGGGCTGAAGATGCTCATGAAAAGGGCTCTGAAGTTCAAGGATCCATTGCTGATGAAAATGATTAGAAATATTTCCCAACATGATGGACCAACCAAAAATCTGTTTATTGTAAGTATGCTTTATGACTTGCTATTAAAACAAACTATGAGTTGTGTTATAAACGAGTATATAACTCTAAGATCTCATCAAATATTTATGTCCCATAAATAATTTAGAAACTACTTCTTTGTAAGGTTAGCTCTTAGAAATCCCATTCTACTTGTTGGTGTTGATGTTGTTTCTACTTTGTGATCGCTGTCCCTGTCCGCTCCATACCCACTGTAGTCTTCTTACCCTAAACCAGCTCAGTATCAACAACTTAGTGCAAGATTTATTAACACAAGAGAATTGTTTCTTGACGTTTATTTATTTTTTTAAAGAGAAAGAAAAAAGCAAAACAGAAAAAAGAATAGCAACAATACAGAATTCCAAAAAATAAAAAATAAACACTAAGAAGTCACTAGTTGATAAATTACATAGTATCCTCTTAAAAATAGTTGTTCAAGTTACAAAAGTAAAGCATACAAAGTAGACATTGAAACAGTGAGACTGCAAACAGTGAAAGTGCAAACAGTTCTGCTCAACAATCCAACAAAAATTTAGTAATATGATTATCTGTCTTACACAATTAAACATACATGCAGTTATATCCTTTAGAACACTTTCTTTTCCTTTCTTTTTTTACAATAGCAATTACATGTTTTGGATTTTATTACTCCTACAGCTCTTATTTCTTTTTACACTAGAAACAAAATGTGATATTTATAAATATGATTCTTATTTATTTGTATTATGAGGATAGTCTCAAGTTGCCTCCATTTCAATATAAAGGCCTCAAGGTCATCCTTTTTTATAGCTGAGTAATATTCCATCATATAAAAATACCACATCTTTTTCATCCACTCTGCAGTGGATGGGCATTTTGGTTGTTTCCAAGATTTAGCTATTACAAACTGCGCTGCTATGAACATAGGTGCACATATATCACTGTGACGTGACCTTTTCAGGTTTTCTGGGAATATACCCAGTTGAATGGAACTTCCAATCCTAGTCTTCTGATTCTCCATACTTATTTCCTTAGTAGCTGCACCAGTCTACACTCCCACCAACAATGGAGCAGTGTTCCTTTTTCCTCACAGCCTCACCAACATTTTTTATTGGTTGTTTTCTTGAAGGCAGCTATTCTTTCTAGAGTGAAATGAAATTTCAATGTTGTTTTAATTTGCATTTCACAAATGCATTATTAGGGTTAGTTCTTCTCATAAGTAATATTTTAACTTTGTATTAAAATTGTTTTATCAGGATTACGTTGGAGACCTTGCAGCCCAGATCTCTAATGATGAAGAAGAAGAGTTTGTGATCGAATGTTTGGGAACTCTGGCAAATTTGACCATTCCAGACTTGGACTGGGAACTGGTTCTTAAAGAGTACAAGTTGGTTCCATACCTCAAGGATAAACTAAAGCCAGGTCTGTGCTAAGTGTGTTATTTCTGCATAATCACTAAGCTATTTTCTGCTGGAGTAATGTTTTATAACTACTCTTAAACCAGCCAAAGCATGTTCTTCCCCAAGCTCTTTTTTCCCTTAAGGTAGTCATTAGGTACACTCCAAGATGTGTGTTCTCTTTTCCTTTTACTAACAGTATTTTCTTAATAGTAGTTTCCCTTCCCCATCCATACCTTTCCTGTTGTTTTTTTTTTAATAGTTTTAAATTTTATTTTAAAGAGAGTAAAACCAAATTTGACAAAAGAAAATAGACTCAGTCAAAACTAAAGGACAGACATAGTACATGACATAAAAACAAAATACAAGGTGATCAGCAATGGTTACCATAATGCCTGTTCCTATCTTCAAAAGAATTGCCCATATCATCAAGTATAATAAAATTGAACAAAACAGTACAGAACAAGACCAATAAAAATGAAACATTGGAGACATTGCAGGACTTGAAGAGAAGATAATAGTCAAACCAGAATGGATATCATAGTGAATCTTATTGTCTTCAATGTAATTGCCTATACCCTCAGACATGATGCTATCAAACAAAAGAGAATAGAATAAAATCAATCAAAACAAGACAGTGAAATCAACACAGAGTTCCAAATTCAGTTAATAAAAATCAAAAATGGTTACCATAATATATCCTGCTATCTTTGGAATAGCTTTCCATGCCATCAAATCTAATATAAGTAGACAAACAAACAGAATAAAACCAAACTAAACAGAACTATGAAAAAAATGTGGGTTTCAAATCATGATAAAAGGTTAACAGTGGCCATTGCCTTCCTTCCCTTTTTAGACAGTTCCTCCCCTTTCACTTTCACAGGGTGCATTGTACATTTTGGATCCCACTAACTCCTTTAGTTTTTAGATTAGGGCGGCAGCCTGCTATTCACCTAAGTAATTCTGAAACTTTTTACCCTTGAGCATGATCTTGAGTTGTATCCATTTACCTCAAGGTTTTCTTTCTTTAAGCTGAGTAGTTTTCCATTGTATAATAGTGTTATGGCTTTCTAACCAATCTGCAGCTGATGGGCGAGCTCCCCATTCAGTGAGCCCCCTCTGCCACTGTTCCTAAAACCATGATCTCTCTCTGGCTCTCTCTCTCTCTCTCTCTCTCTCTCTCTCTCTCTCTCTCTTTCTCATGCCCTTCAGTATTTTTTGTAGGGTTGGATTGGTGGTCATGAACTCCCACAGTTCCTCTTTGTCATTGAAGTATCTTGTTTCTCCATTAATTTTGAGAGATAGTTGTGCAAGGATATATCAATCTGGGTTGGAGGTTATCTTCTTTCAGGACTTGGAATACTTCTTTCCAAGCTCTTCTTGATTTGATGGTTTGTGTCAAGAAGTCTGTTGTGATTCTGATGGATTTTCCTTTATAGGTGATCTGTTTCTCCTCTCTGACATCTTTTAATATTCTGTTCTTGTGTTGAATTTCTGGGATCTTTATTATTATATGTCTGGGTGTAGATCTATTTCAATTATAGCTGGTTGGAGTTCTGTATGCCTCATGTATCTGAATATCATTTTCTTTTCCTATGCTTGAAAAGTTTTCTTTAATTATTTCTGTAAATAGCCTTTATATTTCATTTGTGTTTGCCCCTGCTTCTTTACTCACGATTTTTACTCTTAAATTATAGATCCTCTTGTCATCTTCTAGCCTTTCTATTATTACTTGCTGGTTCCTTGTTATTTTTAAGAAATCTTTCCTTTCACAATGCCAAGCTGCAAAGGTTTGTCTTCAAGGTTTGATAGTGTGTCTTTAGTTTCTTTCAAGCTGTTTTGCCAGCTTTTAATGGAGTTTTTAATTTCTTAGTTATCTCTTTGAGTCTGTTTCATGTTCTGATTTTTTTTATATTCTTCATTGAAGGTTTCCCTCCTTTTTCTGTGCTCCTCTATTCTTTAATGTGTGTCTTTTTTAGAGGTGCTTAGCAATTCTTTTATTATGTTTCTCACATCATCTTTTACCAGTAGTAGTATTTGTGTTTTAAGTTCTTTTACAGCTTCATGGAGTTGTTTCTTTATTTCAGTTGCTGTTGCTTCAAAAACTGCAGGTGTGCAACTGCTGATCCCTTCTGTGTTTACCTTTCCTGGACCAGTACTGTTTCGGTTGGAGGCCAGAGACTGCCTTTTGCTTCTTCCTCTTGTCATGTTCCTGGTTCCTTCCAGACAAGTGGGTAGCGGGGTCCCTGGCACTTCCTGTATTGGTTATAATTACTCCAAAGTATGTTGGCTAGGGATTTCTGCTGTTTGCTGCTTTCCCCAGTCTGCTAGTGGCTACCGGAATGTAAGCTGGGGTGGAGCAGGCTGGCCCCTCTTTTCTGAGCTGGTTAACCACAGCAAGTGAGTCTTCACTACTGGTAATGTGCACCAGCCAGGTGGGTTGGTTAGGGATAGCTTTAGGGAAACTTCACAGTGGCTATTGGACTGCACAGAGGGGCAGGACTCAGCCCAAGCAATTTCCACCAGTCTGCTCCAAGCTAGGAGTGGCTGAATGAAGGTGGCTGCAGTTCTGTCTCCAGGCTTATCCTGCCCAACTCCAAAATGGCGCCGGCCAGTCTCTCACTCCCTCAGAACAACTGAGTCCTACACACTCACTGCCAGCCATTGCAGTTCTCTGGTCTGCTACTCCCTCTACCACCACGTCTCCCTGCCAAGGCTTTCGGGCTTGCTAGCCACCAGCTTCACTGTGCCCAAGCATCTCTGGGTTCCAACAGAGCTTCGGGCACAGTGGTTCCGGCTCCAGTGAAAGCACCACCAACTACCCACTTCTTTTAAGTTTTTCTTTTTCTTTCTTTTTTTTTTTTTTTTTTTTTTTTTATGCTCTCTGTGGACTTCAGTTCTCATTTTAGGATCTTGCTGGGTCGAGGGGACCCACTTCATCCCTTCTTGTCTTCTCCAGAATGCTATATTCCAGCATCTGGACTGTTTCTCTCAGAGAGGCTATTTACTCTGCTGCTTATTGTTCCACCATCTTCCCAGCTCAGTGATAACTTTGTTTTTTTCTTCTGTTGTTTTATAATCTTTTTAATCCTGGTTCTATTCCAAATTACCCTCCCCCTCTCTACATATTCATACACACACACACACACAAAGGTTTTTGAAACATTTTAATAAATCTTTTATTTTTTGTTTGCATTCTCATTCAGTTGTATCTTCAAAGTTGTGTTTCCACCTTTGTACTGTCCCACCATCACAAACTGTCATCAGCAAACGGAAAATTTGGAAAAAGGACAAATTTATAAGCATGCCACAGATTCATTGGAACTGCTGTAATAGCTTTTAATATTTTTGCTGTGTATTGAAGTTTTGATAATATAAATGGACTTGGATCAGATTTCAATGAAATTTTTCTATGGCTTGACTTTTCCTAGGTGCTGCTGAAGATGACCTTGTTTTGGAAGTGGTTATAATGATTGGCACTGTATCTATGGATGATTCTTGTGCAGCATTGCTGGCTAAATCTGGAATAATCCCTGCCCTTATTGAATTACTAAATGGTAATGATCATAATTTTCATGTTAATGTCTAAATAGAGTATTAAATTTTTCAAATTTAAAAGGAAGAGTTTGCACCATAAAATAGTATTTAACTTGTTACAATAATCATAGCAACTTAACTGTAGTTAAGAAAAATGAATTAAATATACTGCTAATTGGGATTAGATAGAGTAATATAAAGTGCTTTAGGTTTCAAAGTTATAAATACTGCTGTTAAGCAATTTGGCATCAGTTTACAGATACTATCCTCCTTTTCCCTGCATTGAATAACTAATGATCTATCATTTCTTCTTTCTATCCAGCTTTGTGTTGACTTGAGTTGAATTTCTTCTATTGCACAAACCTTACTTTTTATACTTTTATTCTAACAGAAAAGTTTATTTGGAAACCAATTCTAAACATATTCCCTTGTACATGCAGAAACATGAGACTATCCTCTGAACTTCCTGCAGTGATGAAAATGTTCTATATTTGTGCTGACCGTCACATGTTGCTGTTGAACATGTGGCTGCCAGACTGAGAACCTGAATTTTTAATTTAACTTAAATTAGCTAGAGTGGCTTATGGCTACATACTGGACAGTGCAGGCCTAGTGTTCCCATTACATTTGTATCACACTTAGGGGCCAGGGTCCACTGTTCTCCATATTGTATACAAAATTTACCTGAATCAAATATTTGGTTAGGGCCAAATTCTCTAGAATCTTATACATTAAAAGTATAAAAATTTTAGTGCTAATATGAGACATCTAAAGAATAGACACAACTCTTCCTAAGTCTCAGTCTTTCCTATATAAGGAGTAATATGTGTACATTTTATATTGAGTAGAGTTTTTGAAGTATAACATAAAAAATACAAAAATTGTAGAGACTTAAATGAATTTTCAAATGAGAACACCCGTGTTACAGTAGATACATAGGCAAATAAAATATTATCAGTGTCCTAGAAGTACATCTTCCCTCCTCCCAGTCATTACTGTCTCCTTCAAAGTGATTTTCTCTTTTTATTACGGATATGTTAATCTTGCTTGGGTGTGAACTTTACAAAAGTGGAATGGAGTCTGCCATTTATTTTGTACCACATTATATTTATGAAGTTACAATATATGGTATGTAGAAGTTTCATTTTTATTGCTATTTATACTATGGAAAATAATTAAAAGAGACACTAGGTAGTTGGGTGGGTTAAAGTTGAATAAAATATCATTGACCATCAAAATGAAGATTCATGGAGTCGGGGAAAGTTGAAGCAAAATAACATGAATCTCAGAATTGCAGCCCTGCCATGATTTAACTGAGAGAGCTATGTGTAAAGTGAGCTAACAGCCAAAATATTTTACTGTATTTTAATGTTCTCCAATATGAGATGACCACGTGCAGAGGCAGTATAATACTGCTTTTAAGAAATCCGTGGATGTTTTAGTACTGAAAAAATAGTTACATGACTGAAGAAGCACTGAATATATGAGAATGATAGTATGATTTTTAGTCCAGGAAGTTAGTAAGAAAGGTCATTTGGGACAGGTTGGACTTTAAGAGCCCACAATTTATTATACACACACATTATTTAGATACTGTATTGATTAGAAAATCTGTTTCTAACATATCATCAAACTTTTACCTAGAATTTGTGGCAAACTACACTATTAGTAAATCAAATTTCATAACACAGACCTAAATTTAAATACCTATACGTAATTATGCTTTAACCTTTACATATTAGTCAGTAGACATCAACTGTTCTACTGCTATTCTTTGTATAACATTAATCCACTGATTAGCCTTTATAATTATATAACATTCTTTTACATTATAGAGTGAGACTACTTATTTCATGATGATATATAAAGTTTAATTTTCTGAACATTATTCAACAAAGGAAATCTCTTTTCAAAACAGTCCAATTTGTACCAACATCTTAGAAATAAGAAGATCTGAGCTTTTTTTTTTTTTAATGATACACAGTTTTTTTAAAAGTACGAAAAGGAACAGACTCTGTGAGCAAGTTTAGGCCAAGTAACTGTAGGAAAAGAATTACATCCTACAGCAGAAGAGTGGGCCACCCTGCAAGAGAGAACAGACTTTTAATGAGTGGAAGGGCTGCCATTCATTTCACATTAGGAACAGAGAATTTCATTCTTCAGTTTTCACATGTGTTGACAAAAGATGGTGAAGGTCACAGTTTCAATCCCGTAAACTTGTCTCTCCTTCATTTCTTTTAGGTATTACCTGGTATTTTGAGATGGATTATCTCAAGTAGCCTGATTTATGATTTAACTTCTCTTTTTCAGAATCTGCATTTTTGTTTTGTTTTGTTTTGCTTTGCTCTGTTTTCCAAAGTAATTTAACCTAATTTAACTTCAGTCAAATTTTCTGAAAATGTATTATAAAATTTCCTCGTGGGCCATTGCCGTGTAATTTAGGAAAAACACCTAGAAATAGATGATGTGTCACCCATGTATTATAATTTGAAATAGTTATACTGTCTCCTTGTTACTTTTAATTTTTCTCATTCTCTATAATGTTTATTTGATTTGGTGTGTATATATATGTGTGTGTATATGTGTGTGTGTGTGTGTGTGTGTGTGTGTGTGTATATATAATTCTTTCATGTAAAGTTTTTGTTTTCTTTCAGCTCAGCAAGAAGATGATGAATTTGTATGTCAGATAATTTATGTCTTCTACCAGATGGTTTTCCACCAAGCTACAAGAGATGTCATAATCAAGGAAACACGTATCCTTTGTGTTTACAACAGATAATGGTATTTCACATAATCAGAAAATACACATCTTTGGTGCATTTTTTTACAGATGTTCAAATACTACAGAAAACACTATACTTTGAAATAAATTTACAAAACTAGCTATTTTGTTTTTTGTTTGGTTGAGGGTTTTTTAGTTCCAAGGATCAAATTCATGATCTCGAGCTTGCCAGGCAAGAGCCAGAGGACTATTTTCCGTGGAAGCTATTTAGCCTAAATCAGGGCAGGGTGACAGTCCCTAACCCAAATATCTGAAATCAAAAATGCTGTAAAAAAGCATGTTTGCCTTTTAGATGACAACATGATGTCACAAGTAGAAAATTCTACTTCATGTAACAACAGGTCATGGTCAAAACAGATTCACTAAAAATGCTAATTAAAATTACATCCATACTATGAACATCAGTCATACATCACGTGTAAGTGAACTTCACATTTGTGTTTGGGTCCCATTCCCCAGATAGCCCATTATGTGTAAGCAGATATTCCAGCATCAAAAAGAAATCTGAAACTCGTCTTTGAGATAATCTATGAACAGGTAGACTATAATAAGAACAATTTTTTTAACTTGTCAGATTTTGAGTTCTAAGAAATTTAAACTATCAAAATTTCCTTCTGTTAACATAAATATCAGAGGTTTTGAGGGCTGTTTTTGATCTTTGTCTAATTTTACTGATTCTGCATTGGTGAAAGCACATCTGTTTTCATGGTTTCTGCTACTGATTGTATTTTAAGTATTTAATATCTGCCAAATATCAGCCATTTGTTGCTAAGAGCTTCCCTACATGCTTTCCACATCAAGGTGTGTCACAAAGTAAAAACTAAATGAATGATAATTAAACAGTCCTAATTTTTTTCTTTTGAGGGTGTTGCATGTTAGGCAAATGCTCTACCACTGAGGTATATCCTCAAACTCAAATTTTACCTTTTGCCACTTACCTGAAAGGACTTAAAAAAGCTGTATAACCTCTTTCATACCTTCTTGTATCTATAAAAAGACTGTAAGCTAAGTAAGACCTCCTACTTTGTAGGTTTGTTGAAATAGTAGTAGACTTAAAATACCTACTCTTTCAATTGCCCAAAAGGACTCAGTAAGTGGTAATTTATCATTACAATATCCAAAGGGCACTGTAATCAGTATCATCTCCAGAGAAACAGAACAATTCTCCCTTCTGTTTTCATTGTGGATAATAACAATATCATATCTGCTTTCTCTTACTACACATAAATAATAATTTATTCCGAACACATTTATGAAGTTTTGACCATGCAGGTAATGTACTGATAATAGTCAAGTCTTTGTCATCAAAACAAGTCTAATTGAAAAGATAGGCAAGTAAATAAAAAACATAAGACTGTAATCCAGTGTGATCAATGTTATAAAGTCATGGGTACATAGCAGTAGAATTGGTATTCAGCTGATTTGGTATTTGTTTTAGATTCTGGTTTATTGTATATATTTTTAAAAATCTACTTTTCACCTCTACTGCATAAAATTCTTTATTACCTATATGAATAGTCTAAACTATGTTGCTCAATCAACATAGTCCTAAATAACTGACCTTACCCTATTTTTGTGAGATGTTCACTTTTAGTATCTGAAGTTGTTTTTACTTTTTTTTTTTTTTTTTTTTTTTTTGGTCTTTCCTGAATGATTTTATTTCTCTTGAGTTTTCTGATGTCTGTTATTCATTCGTACATATTCTATGACCTATTACAGTGGTGGCAAACCTGTGGCATACTTGCTATAGAAAGCTGTTCATTATCAGTGAAAGCTCTAGAAGTTTCACCGTCACTGCTTTATGGTCTTCTTCATTTCTTTTCTCTGTTTTAAAATGCTAGACTTTATCTTAAATGAAAATGTCATAGAGTTTTGTTCATTTTGTTTTGTTTTACCTTATACTAACCATGGGACTTTGACTGTGCTTCTTTTCTGTTCTTTTTTGTCTAAATGATGCTTCCTTGGCCCTTCAGGAAGACAGGATAGATGGAGTGTTTATAATTTCACAGTTCTAGAGCTCCCTCTTCAGTTTTCTTTGTATTTTCAGAACTATGTCATTATACCACTTTCCGAGATGTGCTGATTTTATTTTCTTTACCTATTTCCAATCTTTAAACTTTTCTCTTACATTCCCACTATCCTTATTATTTTAACAAAAGGAAATACTAAATTTCTTGGTCATTTTATACTAATGATTTTATTTTAAATGTTAAATTTAACATTTAAAGAAATGTGGGATTTTCTAATGTGATTGAAGTTACTATCTCAAATGAAATTATTATCTTTAACTCTTTGTATTCAGAAGCTCCAGCATATCTCATAGATCTGATGCATGATAAAAATAATGAAATCCGAAAAGTCTGTGATAATACACTAGATATTATTGCAGTAAGTAATTATTCTACATAAGTGTAGTAGAATTCACTTTGGATAGAAAAGACATTGTAAACCTAACTTTTTCTATATATTCATTGATAACAAAACTTTGTATCATGATAGGGTTTAGAGAATGCTATGACACTAAATTTCCTTTTAAACAGTAATGGGCTTTCAACTTTTAATGTTAGTAGGCTTCTTCCTTAAGAAGACTCTATACATACGCAGTTTAAGTTTAATATACATGTCATCTTGAAATCACTTGTTTTTCAAAGAAATTATATCAGAGCAAGGTGCTCAGGGACAATTCCCATCAAAACACATGCAATCAATTTTGAAGTTTGTCCATAAATTGTGTGTGTGTGTGTGTGTGTGTGTGTCTTTTGAGGCAGGGTCTTACTATATCCAACCCAAGCTCTCTCAAACCTGCAACAGTCCTGCCTCAGCTTCCTTTGTGCTAGAATTAGCATGTACTACCACATCTGTCTAAATTTTTTTGATCAAATTTTACGACTGTTTCTTCAGTTATTTGATAATTTTTGTTACACATAAAAACTTCTTTCTTTGAAATGATGGAAAATACAAAAATCTTAGTTATTCATGATTTGGGGTTTTTAAGGTGCAGTTCACTGGAGGGATATCATTGTGGGGTGAATCTAAATCTTGGCCTAGAAACTTGCTGACCCTACAGACTTTTCTCCTGAAACCGTGCCGACCCCTAGTCTGCTTCCGAGACTTGGATTTGACACCAGGAATGTGCTTGTAAAAAAATTACTGTGTCTGCATTCACCTTATTCATTAGATCTGACATGTTGCAACTTCTGCCTCTTCCCCAAAGTCAAACTAACGGTGAATCCATACAGGACACTGAGCAAAACAGAAGAAAAATTTCAGAATGATTTCTGAAAGTGACACATACTATGTGATAAATTTTCAAAGCAAGGGAATTTATGGAACTATATTTCATTGTCATAATGTTTTAAATATAAGCACCCACTGTATTTTTTAACCACACTACATATGTTACATTATTTTCATAAAGAGCCTTGAAAGGGCTTGAATCAGCAAAATGCAATGGTAATAGAACATGAAGTGGTAACTTGTGTTAATAGAATATTACATCTAAATACAACTATTTTGGATTCTCTTACCACATTAATTATCTCAACCAGCTCATTTAATTTAGTGAAGGCACAGCTTTATAAGACTAGAGACTTAATGTAAAGATTATATATGATGCATCTACCATGGGCATAATGATCATTCAGTATGCTTTTAAGTTAGACTAAACTCTTTAACTCAGAACTTATATATCAATTAACTATCTGGACCAACATTTCTCTCCCTTAGCAATTAAATATGTATATGGTTTTCTTTTTCATTTTAATTTTTAAATGGCATGGGTTCACTGTTTGGAATTTTACTGAGAAGTTTTTGGAATCTGTATTTTGGCCAAACGTATTACTATTTATAGTTTATATTTGAAGTTTTCTTGCAAAATGGCTAAATTTGGCATTTGTAAACTTCATGTCAGAGCAGTTAACTGAATGGGACAATTAGTTGAAAGGCCTTGATCAGAACCTTTGTGGTAAATATTCTACTGTGAAAATATTCTATTTGTTAAATGATCCATGTTTTAACTCTGCGTGACTTACTTGAATTTGGACTCAATTTGTAAATTAACCTCAGACCAAAGATACTCTTAGCTTGCTAAAGATCCTTATTTGGGAGAAAGTTTTGGAATAAGCTATTTTAATGCATCCTACACAGATTGCTCACAATGACACTTGGAAAATAGCTGCCATTATTTGTTTTTTGCATCTAGGCTATACTACTAATCAAAATGAGGATGCTCAGTTTGTCCTACATCGTTTCCCAGAATAAAATGATAAAATGTACATTTTTTTAATTTATGTATTTTGAAGCAAGAAAAATTTGATTGGACACAGCAAAGATAGTGAAACACTAGAAAAATGCTATTAAAGGAAGATGTGAAGTCTCTGTCCAGTTAGCACCAGTAATGGCTCCCTAGCATTACACACACACACACACACACACACACACACACACACACACACACACAACTTTATACTAGGATAGGAGTGGATAGTAGATGATCTCTTAAGATGCTGCTAGATTTTGGCTTTCTCGTATTCTCAGCATATGTATATTATATAATAAATTCAAAATTTATAGAGAGAATGGGAATATTTGTAGTTCAAAGCCATTTATCTTTAATACAACAAATATTTTTGTCATTCAAGATAGTGTAGAATAATACTACAAAAAATTATATGCTTATAAGCCGTAGGGAAATATGCTTCCTTCAGTAAAGGACTTGTTCTCAAAATTATGCAGATATGGCAGTAGTGATGATTTGTTTAATGCAGCTGGGTCCAAGCCCTGAACTGATGAATTGAAACAGATGTGTAATGGTAGTATTCTGTGTACCAGGGAGAATTACATTACTCGTATTACAATATCCAGTCTCTTGCCTGATCAGCAAGTTGTTGCCTCTGTAACTAGATTTCTTAAAGGTTGGCAATACAGAGAGCTAAGATTATAGAGAGAAACAGCAGCAAGAAAAAGAGAAGCCATGGCTGCTTGGTCTTCTGGGAGATTCCAAGACAATCAGCCATTGGATTTTCTCTTGAGCCTTGAGAGTCATAAAGGATAGAATCTAAACATCTGATCTAGAAAGCTTCTAATAAGACAATTAAAGTTAAGTATACCTCAATTTTGGTTAAATATTTGAGAACCTCAGATTTCCTCCCAAAGTGACAAAAAAAATCCCTCCCCTCACATTTCTGGGATGTAAGCATTAATTACGTTTATTAACCACACAACGTGTGACAGAACTAAGACAAAATATAAAATTCGACAACACAAAACTCCTTGCATATGAAAGATTCAGTCTTGACTAGAAAATAACAGGATTCTCCTCTAAGATACCATGTGTGAACTAGTCTTCCACAAATAGTACTAATGACTGTTACCAACCAATGACCTGTGCTAATGCCGTACTGTATTACAGTGTTCATAAGAAAAGGGATACACTAGGTTCTCTGTAACAGACAGATGGGTCTTTCTGGCCAGCAACAGGCCATGTGTTACTTGGTACTAACACAGGTTTGTATTACTGTGATTTTGAATGGTAGCTTTTCTTAACTGATTCTTAATTCTGATCATGGCAGACTGTTATAATAACCTCAAATCAATACCTTAATCTAGTATTTTAAACTTGGAAAAATAAGGTAGTGTCTTAAAGAACAAAAAGTTATATTTAATAAGGCTGATTGATTAAAATGAAATCAAGCAAGATGTTTAAATTGAGTCTCCACTTCATTAGCTATTAGGGTTCCCACAAAGATTTCCAGGAAAGCCTGTGTCAGGCAGAAAAACTGGCTTTATTACTTATCTTGCAAGAAAGGGAGGGCACTTTAAAAAACTAACAAAGCATGGTGGTACATGTCTATAATCCCATCACTCAGGAGACTAATTTTTTGAGTTCAAGGCCAGCCTGGGTTACATAGTGAGTTCAAGGCCCACCCGCGCTACACAGTTGAGATCTTGTCTCAAAAAAGAAAACAAAAATGTCACAATACCTGAAAAGAAGTTGCAGGGAAGATTACCAGGAGTAAGATCAAAATTAGAAGTTGGGCCTTCAGAAGTCAACAAAGAGTAGGATTTGAGTAAAAATGGGTAAATGGCCATCACTTTTAATAGGTGTGGAGGTTGGACAGTGGCATACAGCAGGAATTACACAAAATGTCTAAAATCTTCTATTTCAAGAGCAAGTGGAGCTGATTCTTGCCTATTTTGTAGAGTTGGTAAATTTTAATTTCTCAGTATATGTTTAATTTTTAAATTTTATTAATTTCATATAATCAAATTGGAATTAATGAGATTTTTTTGGTTAGCCATATTTTGTAGTTCATTTTTATATTACATAAATAAAAAGACAGAAATTCAAGATTTTTAGCTTGTTAGAATTTAAAAACAAAATATATATGAACACAAATAGATATGTATATTCTTTGCCTGTTTCTTATGCAAATAAGAAACTTTTTTTTTTTTAATTGACAACCTTTGGATTTAACCCATGTAGTAAAAAAGAGAAAAATGTTTTACTAAATTTTATTTAGTTCTAACTTTTCCTTTGTGGTCTGCTTGGCATATCTGATATCACCTTGCACAGTCTGGCCTAGATTCCTGCGGAGGTCATTGTACTTAGAGCTCTGGTTAGAATGTGCCATGGTGAAGACTAGCAGTCAGCACCCGGGACTGTTCTGGTGAGAAATAGATAGTACATGCATAAAATCCAGCATTACTGTACGGGTGTGACTGTGTATCTATATATACATTTTATTGGAAGAAGTATTTTCCAAGATACAAAAAGGATTTTTAGCAGCTACAGCCTTAATATTAATGAGCAGCTGAATTACTCTAGACCTACTTCAATTTAGTATGAAAAATTATATTAAATAAACCACGTTACAGTCTCAATTAGGGTTCTGCCACATTAAAGGAAAAAGGAAAATCTGTTTTCCATCACTAATGTTAGAACACAAAGCAGATCTACGTAGTTCTTTGTTACCCTACAGTGTGTTAATCAGATACAAGGTGTGATGGAAGCCAGTGACAAAGTTTTCCTGATAGTGAACAGACTCGGATAATAGTCTGGTTAAGTCTTTATAATGTTTCAGTGGTTAAGTAGTAAACAAAATGATATAAGACTTCAAAAAGGATGGCATATTTCCATGTAAAATCAAACCATAAGTCTTTTGTGACACCTTAGAATTTATGGAAACTGAGTGCTTTTGCTTTTGATCATAATGTCAAGAGCTGAGAAGAGAGAAGACCGTATTTTCCTTTAAATACAGGATAAAGTCAAGAATCAAAGCCAGGACACAAAGGTATAATCCTTGTGAAAATAATTGTTTCTAAGGTGGAGGGAAAAACAGCCATATCTCATGACTATTTCCACAGCAGCTTCACAAATTTTGATGACATATCTTACCGGTGATTGAACAGGGATATCCCTGATTGTCATATTTATTTCCTGATACAAGGCAGAGAGTGAGAGTTACGAGGGGTAGAAACTGGGGGAGGGGTGTTAGAAGAAATTAATTTTTGCATGTTAAATGTATTAATATTTTTGCACTGAATATTAATTTTGAGTTGTTGTTTAACTTTTTAAAGCAACTCTCAAGCTTCCAAGATTTTTCAGTTTGGAGAGAGTCATTTCAACAACTGTATTAAGAAATAGCTTCTTATTTGCAGAATAACATGTTATTCTAATCATAGGTTTTCTCTTTAGGGAGCTTAAGTGCTAGATTTTGTTTTACAAATGAGTCGAAGTCTAAGATATTTAAAGTAGCTTTACAAAGTTGCGTACTTTACTTAGTAGAAAAGCAGGAACTGGAAACCAGGTGTCCTAATACCTAATTCAGTGTACATTGTGTTATCCGTGCCATAATACAGGTAAATTCAGATTCTGCAATACAAAGAAACTGATTTTACTATTACTGTTAAACTGTATTCTTAGAGATTCCCAAAGATGGAAGTTAGCCTAGGGATTCCAGAATGATTGGTTTTTAAAATGGTAAAACTTTGATTGAAAATTTTGGTGAAACAGAAGAGGAAAGAAAACAAAAAGAGTTACGTGTTTTTAGGGGAATGAGACATGGAGGTGTAAAATTTACCATGTTAGTCTTGGGAAAGTATATTTTTGTTTTAAGATTCTCACATTTTGAGTTTTAAAATAATTTTTCTTCCATAAAATAGTAAGAGTAGTTATCAAATGATTTGTATCTGTTCCTAAAATATGCTTTTGAACTTTTTCTAAAAAGATTGAAACTCTTATGACCACTGGTTTAACCTATTGTGTGCTGCACTTACTAAATAGAATTTCAACAGTCATGAGCTAAAATTTTGATTTTTAATAAATATAAATGTTTCTAGAAACATAAAATTAATGGTCAGCATCATACTGCAAACATTGCTATCTAATTTGATTCTAGTATTTACTACAAACAAAAACTAAAGCAAAAAATATTTAAGTGAATATTGAATTAACATTTTTCATTTTAAGATTCAAAGATAATAGACATTTAAAGATCTAAACATTTGAAGCTGTATTTCCACAAACTAGAACAAACTCTGATGGCACCAGTAGAGTACCTTAATAATGTTTCATTTTTAGCCTTTAAATTAGTGTGTGTTTGTGTGTGTGTGTGTGTTGTTAAATATTTTTCCAAGATAAGCATGGTGACTCACACCCATAATCCTAGCACTCAAGAGGCTAAAGCAGGAGGATCACTGTAAGTTTAAATTTGAACTACATAGGAGACCCATCTCAAAAAATAAAAGCATGTATGTATTTTTTCAAAGCTAGTAATATTGGAATGTAAAAGATTATTTTAAAACTGGGAATTGTTGGTGATTTATAGTGATTTGTCCTAGGTAAAGGTATTACAAATATTTTCTATAATTTTCTCTTTCCAACAGTGAAAACACAACTTTTACAATTATAAAAATCTAAACAGTATTTTCAAAATCTCATGCTATAAGATTTTTAAAAGAACCTTTAAGGTCTTGATACTATTCATTGAAAGTTTTTGCCATTTTAATATATGAGGCATAACAAAGAGTACTACCTATTAAACAAACATAAGGAACTATACTTACCTGTTAAAGCTTAGAGGCACCTCTTAGGAAAACCCTACTTGACACTCACTCCTTTCAGTGTGTTCATTATAGTAGGATTCTGTAAATATTGCTGGATCTTCTGCAAGACACAATTGTGAGTATACTAAGTGATAATACAGTCTGGTATAGAGCAACGTTTGAGGGAAAATCTTTTGTTTTATTTAAAGAGGTGAGGAAACAACTATAGTGTTTTCATTGTAATGCTGTAAGCAATAATGCACTTGGTAATCATTATGCCTGGCATAGAAATTAGGTCTATTGTTTCATAGTGCACAGTTACTTTAAATAATCATTAAAATAAAATTGTTTTAAAAGGACAAATGTAGTGCAATCTGTATCTGCTATTATACTTTTTGGCCTTATAATGCCTTGCACTGAGTTAATTACTTTGAAGATGGTAACACACAGTATAGTAACTATTGTTATTCTGTTATTTAATTATGAAATGTGGGGGTTCATAAAAATATTCATTGGTTCTACAGAATAATTCCATCGTCGTCTAACAAAATAGAACCTTTTAAAGCAATGCATAAGGGTAGTCTTGTTACATGTGGTGCTAGACTCTGTGCTAACGCTCAGTGTCATTATTTTACCAAGAACATGTGAAAAATTAGCTGCAGGTGCTCAGGGTGGTATCTGTTTTGTGAGCTTGGACTTTTGTCAGATAGGCTCTTCTGGAAAGAAAAAAGAAAAACCTTATACACGTAAGTTCATCATAAGAATAATGTTGTGCACTCATAAGGTAATAAGGCCAAATTACTAACCAGGCTATCTGTGAAGGAACATCTTTGTTACACATTTCTACATTGCACGTGTTTTGTTACTGAATTATTAAATAAGGAAATATTAAAAGAAGGTATAAGGTAACTCACAGCCAGGTATAGTAGCACAATAATGTCATCCCAGCACTAGGGAGACTGAGGCAGGAGGATCCCCTTGAGTTTGAGGCCAGCCTGACCTACACAGAGTTCAAATGTTCTTAATACAAAGCATTACTTTCTAAGCTACATACATATTGTGCATATTTATCTTTTGGAGTTATTTTTTTACCTACATTGGTAGCATTTCACAGATATTATTGGGAGGCAAGTGTTTAATCTTTTTTTTTTTTTTTAATGGTAACAGGGATTGAACCAAGGCCTTTTGAGTCAACCCAGCCCGTTTATTTTTGAGGCAGATTTACCCAGGCTGGGCTTGAGCCATCCTCCTGCTTCAGCCTCCTAGCTATAAGTTTTACTCATTGGCAGAACAGACCTAATATTTCATATGCTTTGGACATTTCACTGAATTTTAATACTGTTTTTATACTAGGAAACCCTATGCTTGGAACTTAAATTATAAAAGAACTATTTAATCATACACTTTTCTGTCATTTTCCTTGAATATTTTTTTATTCAGGTAATTTGGATTTTTAATTTTTGTGCCAATATAAAAGTTAATTTTATACCTCTTGCCAAATGAAACAAGCTAATATTCTTAAAACAAGCAAAAACATGGTCAAAGTATTACCAGTCATCTTGTAGACTAGAATTTCTGACATTTTAAGTCATTCTTGGAGTTTGGGTGACCTGTGACATGCTCATATTTTAGGAAAAAAATAAATATTTTCAGTTTCATCCCCAGAATACCAGTTTGCTTTTCATTTGTGTATTAAATGTTTTACCTTAATGGTTATAATTGAATTATAAGGAGACATGATCATACCTTTGTGAATAATCTGGCAAAAAGCCAAGCACAGACAACTGCTGCATAATTTCATGTATGGAATATAAAATAAAAGTAAAAATAAGAGTGGACGGTGACTGGGGGAGGCAGTGAATGGTAGGAAAAGTCACATTCAGTGAGAGGTAGGAGTAAATTCTGGTGTGCTGGTCCACAATGGATTACTGTAGGTGACAGTTAGACACTGCATATTTAGGAAAGCTAGAAGAAATATGTTTCACCATAAAGAAACAGTGTTTAAGGATATCTGTAACTTACTTTAAGATTTATATAATACATATCAAAATATCACACAGTACTCCATAACTGGGCACAGTTTTATATTTCTGTCATTAGAAAAAAATCTGAAAAATAAAGTTCCTATAGCCCATGGGACAAGTTGAAAGATAAGGACCTGCTGTAATTTATAATAATTGGCTCATTTGTCCTTCAAAAAATTCACCAAGAACTTCCTTTGTGACAAGTGTTACAGATATACTTGTTGGTAAATAAAACCATGGTTGCTTCTCAGAAGTTCACAGTCAAAACAAGAATAGGCACTTAAAGAAATAGTTTTACAAATGAGGTCATTATTTTGTGGTTTAAACAAAATAAGATTCTGTTTGTTTTCTGTAGTAAACCAGGTATTTTTAATATTCTCTATGAACCAAATGAAGGGTCTCAAAATTCTTTCCTCATCAACTATTGCTACCTCAGTACTAGTAAGTAAACCTGTACTGCACACTAACTGTTAAGCTGTTCGTTTTTAATAGGAATATGATGATGAATGGGCCAAGAAGATTCAGAGGGAAAAGTTTTGTTGGCATAACTCTCAGTGGCTGGAGATGGTAGAGAGTCGTCAAATGGATGAGAGTGAGCAATACTTGTATGGTGATGATCGAATTGAGCCATATATCCACGAAGGAGATATTCTAGAAAGACCTGACCTTTTCTACAGCCCAGGTAAAGTAATAACCAAGCAAAAATTTGCCTTTGTGTATGTAGGAATTTTAGCCTCCCAACCTTGCACATTCTCAAATTTTCTAAGCACTTCTTTTATAACATACAAACAGGCTTCTGCTAGTCATTTTAAGTGTAATGTCTGTGTACACCAAAAACATGTATTCATTCACCAGCATTTTTTGAAATTAATCTTTAATGTGAACTCCATTGAAAAGTACATAGCCGAGAAAATGAATTGCTGTTAAGTTGCCTTCCTAAAATGCATCATTTCAGTGTATATCTTCAAGATATACATTGGTTTGTTGTCCTATGTATTTAATCTTAACAGTTTAATTTTGTCATATTTTTCCTTTAGTTTCAAACTACCAACTATTTGGTGACTGTTGGGAAGATTCAGATACTTGATAGCAATAGTTTTTCTTCTAAATTGTGCAGATATTTGCAAGGTAAAATTTAGTGTGTACATGTATTACGACTATTGATTATGCCATATCACCCTATTTAATGAATGAACTTGGCACACATATTAGTAAATCTTGAATATTTTGCTTTTCATGTTTTGTTCTTTGCCCATGTTAATTACTCTACTGAGAAGAGAAAGAAAGGGATTTTTCATTAAGATGTGGAAGGTTAAAAATAAGCGACATTAAAGCTGGAGTCCTAGCCCCGTAGTAGAGTATTTACCTTGCACATGTCAAGCCCTGAGTTCAATACCTAACACTACGAAAAAAAGTACATTAAATTATATCTGAACTGGCTTGCCGTTTTTTTTTTTCCTACCATGTGCTTCTACCATGTATTTATTAAGTTATCTTACTGTTTTTTTTTTTACATGTTTTACATGTGTTACTTCATTTTGCCAGAACGGTCTGTGTGTGATCAATGGTTGATTGTATAAATTATCATCACATAAAATCACTAATAATTAGCATCCTTTCTGATCTACGAAACTATTCACGTTTTTTGTGTGTTTTCATAATTCTGAGTTGTATAAATCTCCCATCAATAGTATTACTTTTATATGTGATATACATGCTTCCATCCTGGAAAGTTCATACTTTACTTTGAAAATTTAATATATTTCTAAAAATCAACAACTGAGATCTCATTAAAAAATTTTTACGCATCAGAAAAAAAATCACTAACAGAGTGAAAACACAGCCCATAGAGTGGGAAAAAGTTGTAGCCAGCTGTCCCTCAGATAGAAAGGACTTCTATCTAAAACATACAAAGAATTGAAAAAAATCAAGCCCCTCAAATTCAAAGACCCAATACAGAAATGAGCATCAGAGATGAATGGCAGTGGCATTCATCTGAGACCAATGGCAAATAAATAGATGAAAAACTGTTCAACACCATTGGTCATTTGAGAAATGCAAATTAAAACACTGAAATTCCATCTCATCCCAGAAAAAATGACTGTCATCAACAAATCAACCAATAGCAAATGCTAGCAGAGCTGTGGGGAAAAGGGAGCCCTCCTCTACTGTTGGTGGGAGCACAGACTAGGTACAAACACTATGGAAATCTGTGGAGATTCCTCAAGAGACTAGAATTAGACATCCCATTCGATGCAGATATCCCCCTTCTGGGCAAATTCCCAGAGGACTTAAAAGCATCAGACCATAGTGGTATTTGTGCACCCATGTGTATAGCAGCACAATTTGTAATAACTAAATCTTGGAAACACCCCAAGTGCTTATCAACTGAGGAATGGATTTTTTAAAATGCAGTATTTTTATACAAGGAGTACTACTCAGCTATAACAAAGGATCAACCCTAGGCTTTTATAGGTAAATGGATACAAGTTGAGACCATGCTCATAAGTGAAGTAAATCAGACTCATATGTGTAAATATTGTATTGTGTCCTTAGTAGAAGAAACTGGCAGAGTGAATAAGATCCAAAATGTACAATAGATACTGTGAAAGAGGAAGAAACTACTCAAAAGGAAAGCACAACTGAGATGGGGGATAGGAGAAAAGAAGAGAACCAAACATACACACACACACACACATTCCATGAATGATTTCACATACTAAGAATAAGACTGCTCATAAATGATGATGAACAATAAAAAGTGAAAAGTCATTAAGAATGTGCAGCAGCAATACAGTTTTATAAAATATAAAACGAAAGCTAAATAATTATGTTACTAATTTCTATTAGTGCATTGAAAAGAATGGTTTGTGCTTATATTTTTTGATCAGTTTTTCATGCCTGTATCTTGTAATCTGAGCAACTACTTTAAAAATAATATTCAATATATTAACCATTGTTAATCTCCTATTATCTTGTTTTGAAATTCTGTATTTTTAAAAATGTTTTCTCTTTAAAATAAATAAAAAGAAAATTGAGTGTATTTCTTCCTAACTGAGCTTTACACAGTAGTTATAAAATTTTGCTTTGTGTTTCAAAGCAGCTGGGATAAATCATTAATTTCAGCCAACTAGGATTTCTTAGTTCAGTAATGGCAAGCAGCTGCTCCTGGCATAGTTAGTGTTCATGAAGAAAATGGTGTAAACATGTATGATGTGGATTCTTTGTCTGTAGGTGTCGAAATAGTCTTACCATCAATTTTCTGTCTTTGAAGATTGATAGCTACCTGTCAGCATGAATCATTAACCAGTTTCCAAAACTGAGTAAAACTAATAACTGCATCAGTTAATAACTTCAATTTTCTTGTTTAAAAATCTTCTGAAATTTTAATTGTTTAAAGTTATTAGCACATTTCTAAATTTGGTTCATTTAAATTAAGCTCCTAAATGAAAAATTGTATTTTTATGTGTTACTTTAAAATGTGTTATACTTCTTATTTGAAAACTAAATTATGTATATTTTTATATACCATAATTTAGAAATAGCAGTAACTGATGGAAAAATAAGTACTTGAGTGATAAAATATTATTAGTCTCATTTTTTTAAATAACTAAAGCCTGATGATATATATATTCAACAGCAGAAATTTCATTCTACAGCATTTATAGATTGCTTTCCGAAAGCAGCTTATATCTTATTTTACGTTGGCATTTTCTGTGACATCTGTAGAGTAAGTTATCATTTCTTAATGTATCTCATGGAGATCTAGGTAATATGAGCCCCTTTTTATAATTCTATTGTTGCCTGGAATCTTCAGATAAATTTGTAGTTACTACATATCAATTTGAACGCTTGTGCCATTTCTTTACACTCCTGAGCCTCTTTGAAACTTCAGGCTACTTCCAATGAATATAAGGCCTTAGTAACTTTTCAGCCACAAAGATTAAACTGAATGACTTAAGATTCTCTGGATCTTACCTTTTATTTTAAAGTAAAATGGCATTTTCTACTTTGTAAGTCATGAGTATTAGCCTCTGAGGCTTCAAACTGAAATATCAGTCAAAATATATGTTACTCTTTTTGCTGTTTTGTTTAAGAAGAATGCTAAGGTTATGGAACTCGCACCTCCTTTACAGTAGTTTTCTTAGAGTCCAAAATAATTATGATTGTAGTCATTGATGAAGTTTCTTTGTTACCATGAAAATAAAGCTTTTTACTTGGTACTTTTTATCTAAATAGAAAGTATATTTTATAGAACTGTATTGCTGCTGCACATTCCTAATGACTTTTCACTTTTTATTGTTCATCATCACTTATGAGCAGTCTTATTCTTAGTATGTGAAATCATTCATGGAATATGAAACTTGGTTTGCTTCTGTATCAAGAGCATTTAAAAACCATAGTTTTATAAAAGTTTATTTTAGTAACTATTTAAGTAAATATGGAATTTTTGTTTTACAATGTTTATAAGGTAGCTTTTTTAACTGAATTACAGAATTGAGAAGGTTGATAGATTTGCTTTGATTTCATCACTTCTAGTATATATAGCTCCATTTATTTATAACTGTCTTGATTATCACTTGGAGCCTCATAGAAAGATATGTCACATAACTATATGAATCGTATTATATAACTAAACCCATATAATTTAATAACCTAAATATGTGTGAAACTGTTCAGCTTAGAGTGCTGTGACATGTTTCATCTCTGTTTTCTGTTTCCTCTGGCCATGAAATTCTTTGGTTCCTTATTGCTCTTTGAAACAACAAGGAGTTTAAAAAGGACACTCCTAGCTTGATATGAGTTTATAATCAAGACAATCTGATTCCTTTTTACTGCTTCCCTAAAATAAATAATATTGGTTGTACAATGCAGAGAATTGGGATGAGATTTTCATAGGCCTTTTATACCTCACTTTAGTGAAGACAGATTTCTCAGTATCTCAGAGCTGCCTTTTGTCAAGCCATACAAGGCATTATGGAAACTATAGTTTATTTAAAATGAACTGCCTTGCCCTGAGCTTACTACAAAGGAATTTAAGAAATATGTATTTATTCTTTTTTACTGTATATTTAAATTATTTAATACTTAAATTATGCTATTATTAAATTCTGTGTTTATAAAATTTCTGGCTGAACTTTTCAGTTCAAGAATTTTTAGTTTGAATTCAATCTGTGATCCTGTGTTCTGCTTATCTTTGGAGACAATAAAGTTCTGAATCAAAAATAAAATTTTGAGACTTTGATCAGTTTTTAATAAAATTTCTTTTAATATGCCTCACTTTACTAGATCATATTTTTAAATACAACCTCATATATAAATATCTGTTCAATTAATTGTATTTAGTGTATTTGAAACTGTATTCCTGAGTGCTAAATGTTTTATTCATGGCATAATGAACATCTTTGCCTTCATTTTCAAAGTGTAGCATACATTTATTTTAGTATTTTATTTAGCTTTTTTTCTTCAAAACTGGTAGATTTCTGAAGCCTTATTCCTCCGTCATTGCACTTTAGTTTAACAGAATAACTCGTTGATATTTTTAAACCTGACTTAAAGAAATTTCTAGCTTATGTTCAGTCTGCTTTGATTTTTTTTTGTATCTATTCTGTGTTTAGCTGGATTTTAGATTTTAGGATCTATCTTCTAGTGTACATTAAAACTGCACTAAATATCACTGACCCGTTAATGGAAACTCAAATATTTTATATTTAATAAACCAATAAGACAAATATCAAAGGAATCCATGAACAATACAAAAATTAGATAGTAACCCAAATAATTAATAATTGAATATGTGTACCAAATAAGGTGTATAGGATCTGATGGAAATACTAATTACTTCACTTACTTATTTGTTCATGCCTTTACTTAGTTTTAAGATTTTGTCATCTAAGTTCTACGTCTTTCAAGGTCCAAATCAATTACAGCTCTACCCCCTCTCCTAAAGAGGCTTTTCTAACACCTGTAGAATACAGTAATCCTTCCATAGCTTTTATTGCCCTCATCACTCAGTACCTATATCCACTCTTGATGTAAATTGTTTTACTGTTATCTTAGATTAAAAATTTTTAAAACAGACATACATATTACAATAAGTTCTCAAAGCCATCCAGATAGTCATAATAAAAGCCATATACTAAAGTATATGCTCCATACATGAGACATCTCATAGGTCACCATATAGACCTTTTTTCCTCATTGTCTCTATTTTTAGTTTGTTCAAAATTCTATTAAAAATAAGTTATGTAGTTTTTACCATTAGTTTGTATGTATGAGTTAACATTTGGTATTTAAATTGTCAAGCATTGCTTATTTAGAAATTTATTTATTTGATATATCTAATTCTGTAATCATGATAAACAGGTGAACTGCCTGGGTATAAATTGCACAATATACTTTAAAGCAGTGATGGTGATCCTTTTGTTTGCCATCACTGCCCTAAGGTATTGCTTTTTATTCACACTATGTCATTCATGCCTTTTTGCTTCTATTTGTGCTTTTTCTTTTTAAACCTGGCCCACAGTTTCTGTCTTCTCACCAACCCTCCTCTCCTCACCTCACCTTTTTGTTCCTTCTCTACAATATACTGAAGCTTAACGATACTACTGTCTTTGCCTTCTCCGTTGTAGTATCATGTGACACATAGTGGATATGTAATAAATGTTGAATTATTGTGCTGAATTGTTGTGAACAAAACACTTTAGTCCATACGGTCCTCTAGGAGTACTCTTACAAAAAACAACTTGTCATGCCAACATTTTTCTTTCCCGATTAAATGTATGGGTTATTTTCTTATACTGTTAAGATTTTTCTTCTTATGCATATGACAGTAACCTCTGTACGTTGCTTGATATGGTAGTTTCCTTTTTATTATTCTCCACAAATATGTTTAACTAGTTACCATTTTCCTTCTTACTAGACGGATTAATTGCCACTGAAGGAGCCATAAGTCCAGACTTCTTCAGTGACTATCACCTTCAGAATGGAGATGTAGTTGGACAGCATTCGTTTCCTGGCAGGTAAACAGTCTTCCAAGAAAAATAGGATGTATGATGTTCTTTTGTTTTTGAAGGGCTAGAATTTTCTTCACTCTTCATTTCTCTTTTTCATTAAGGAAAAATCCAAACTTTTCAATAACATGCATGATTTTAAATTAGTTTGTGAAGTAACATTTTTATGTCAAAAAAAATGGAGATCACAAATCTTCATAACATTTATCACTTTGGAAAATAGGAACTATCTATTGAAACAGGCAAGGCTTTTGCCACGTTAGTGAATATAGATTATTTTCTGAGTACTTCCCAAAACCAATATAAGAATACAAGACACGTATTTTAAATATCACTGTTTTAAAAAGTTGATATTTGATTTAGTTGAAGATTTTTCTATCATAGATTACATTCAAATAAAATTGAAGGGGGCTAAAGTCTTAACAGGCTGGCATTGTTCTGCAATTATCAGAAAGTTCCCTACAGCAGATATGTAGGTTCACTACTAATGGTGGTACACAGATTTTTTATGCCAAAAATTATAGACAATGTTTCTTCTTTATTACATTCATAGACATATAATAGTTTTATTTAGGCTATTAAAATTTCACATTAAGCTAGTTTTGTGAATAGGGATAATCTTATTTTGCCTTAGACAGCTATTTAATTTCTGCTTCTAAAATCCCATTTTTCATTATAATAAGCCATTTTCTAGTTGAGAGATCATTTATATATTTTTAAATCAGTATAGTTGCAATGAGCACATTATAACTTTTAATGATCATGTAACATAAGCTATTTTAATTAACCATAATTATAATTGCTGTAACCATTATTATGTTATATATAATCAGTTTTACAATAAAAAAAATCTAACAGTAAGAAATACGTGTATTTTAAAGCTAGTCAAGCCTCAAAAAAATTTAAATTTAAGTAACCAACTTACTCAAATAGAGTGAGAATTTGAACTTAGGTCTATAGCACCAAAACTTACTTCTTTCCAGTATAATATGCTTCTAATTTGGAGGAAAAAAGAAGCATTCTGTAGTGATTTTTAAGAATTTATGAACACAATTCACATTAAAAGAAACTCCTTTCAAGGCTGAGGATGTAGCTCAGTGCTACAGCATTTCCTTAGCATGCACAAGATCCTGGGTTTAAGCCTCAGCACTACAAAGAAAAGGGGGAATATGGCAACCTAGTATACACACACATTTTTATTCACAAGTATTTATCCACCCGTATATGTAAAACAAAATACCTTAAAATGATATTCTTACTGCCTGTAAAGCACAAATTATTTTCTTTTGTTCTGTTTGTTAAATGTAGTTCCAAGGAATTGATGGTCCTGACTCAAAAGTTTAAAAATGTAGTGGAAAAACATAGGAGTATTACATGAAATGCGTAGTTAAGTGTTCTGTAATAGACTTTCAATAAATAATAGAAATAGTTTCTTTGGTATACTAGATTGTCATAGTAAGAAATTCCTTGCCTCAGGAATAAAAGCTAGCCGTGGTTAAATGCTAGAAAGCATATGGCTTTTGATTACTTTTGATGCTTCTGGCTATATTAGCTATAATTATTTAAATAGAAGCTCTGTTTAATCATTTTAACTACTATATCATGTGGCAATTCCACTGTACAAATGTTTTCAGAAACGTAACTGAAAAAGGAAGAAATGATTTGGAAATTTGATCCTAATAGTTATATCAAAGACTTACCTAATTATTCTTTCATTACAATTATTAATTATTTCATTTTGTTTTACTATGAACAAAGCATTTTCTTTATTTGTTACAGATACTTCCAATCTAAAGTAGACTGCCACTAATTTATGCATTACTTATATGAAGATTTGTTGTTTTTATATATATAAAATTGTGACTTTGAAGAAACTGCTAAACATTTTCACTAAAATTGAATATATAGAATCTTATGAGCCCAATTCTGGAAAATCTTTCATTTTGGAATTTTGAAAATAGTCATTTTATAAAACAATGAAAATATTTGGTATATTTAGTGACTAATAGTGATTAAGTTATGAATTAAAAATATCAGTCCAAAAATATCAGGACTTTCTCATTTCTATTAATTATTTTAAATTACTTTGAGAACATCTTTTTTGAGCCTTCAGTTCCTTTTTGGGGTAAAAATATTTAAATAGCTTTTTTTATTCATAAATGACACGTCACAGTAATGTTGACTTAAAAGATTACTTAAAAGATTATTTTTCAAATCTAAGGAGTAATATACCTAGTATAATCATTTTGTTTTGAAAATTATGCTTTAAAAAAGATCTTCCTCTGAAAAACTTAGTCCTTCATCTCTTTTATAATTCTCAAGGCTTTAGCACATGTAACTGTTACTTTTCCTTTTTTTTATTTCCAGGATAATTTACAGTTCAGTTTACTCAAGTGTTTGTAGGTAATAGATCAAACTAATAGGTCAATTGTATCAGCAGAGATACGGAAAATTCAATGTAACCAAAGATATATACTCTCTACGTTTTGTTTTATTGATCGACATTGAAATTAAATGTTTCATTTATTCAGTCACTTTTGGCTTGTTAGCAGTCCCTGGATATTGATAAACCATAGATCTTGCATATTTCTTAATTCTGCACAGATTTTGGTATTTTAAATTGCTTCATAATTATTCACATATTTTGTATACTTTTGCTGATGTCCCAGATGTAAAATTTTAAACTAGAATCTTTTTCAGTTCTTCCGAAATCTTCTGATATCTAGTAGATAAATCTAAAATTTGTTGATAACATTGATTCAAACCACTATTGAGATTATTTATTTTAACAGATGTTAAGTTACTCAAATACTTTAATATTTAATGTTTTCAAGAAATGTTATTGGATTCCTATTTATCTCCACTGTGAAGATGAAAATAAGATTTTATGGACACTGTAAAGAATTTAGGATAACTGAAAAAATAATGAATTTGAAATACAATCACTTGTCAGCCTTTTGGCTAAGATCAAGTATGCATTTAAAATACTGAAAAAACTGATCCTCTAAAAATGGTTAAAAAGAGAAAGTATTATATATTGAGAGATTTTTTTTTTCTTTCGGATTTTGTTTTTTCCTCCTCGAATCAAAGAAAAGAGTCAGATGGTTTACAAGGTCTTTCTTTGCTTCTTTATCATACATCTTTGGTAAATAAATATGGCTTTATCTGGGGAGAGGTTAGTGTATAAATGGTTAGTATATAAATGGTGAATTTGTGTCATTACCACTGCTGTGATGATTTGGGTGACAGTGGGATGTGGGATGAAATGTGGAGCAGGTGTGTGACAGGGCCAAGCGGCATGCTCCTCAGCTGGCTCTCACAGCTCGCTGGACTTTGTTGGTTTTTGAACATTGCAGTGTGAGTGAATCAGTATAAAATGGATGAACTCAAGTTCCTGCAAGGTAAAGAATAAATTGCTGATTTGAATGACATGAAGGTTTTTTTAATTGTTAAAAAATTTATTTTTCCTAAAATGACAAATGTGTTCATATCTGAGAAACTAAGACAGACTAAGAGAAATGTTTAAACAATTCAAATTGGTGTTTTCTTAAAATCCAAGTCAAGGGTCCTTCTCAATCTGAATGCCTGCATTTTTGTAATATATCAAGGCAGTTTAATTGGAAACAGTGAAAACTGCTAAACTCATCAATCTCATTTTACAAGACAGACTGAATGTTTGATACAATAGATACTGGCAGTTGGACAGCGAATCCTGGGTCTTAGACATGCATCACTATTGGTTTGAATCCCTTGGCGCCAGGATTTCCCGACACTGAGAGCTAATGCAAAATGCATTAGGGCTCCAAGGCATTAGCTATGGAGTTGCCAATCCCAGAGAGCCAAATGTAAATCTTCCCCCCCCCCCACAAATCTGAACTGGTGTTAGAAAGTAAAGTGGAACTTGCTATTGAAGCTAATTAAAAATAATAGGAGCAAGACTAGCTTTTTTTCCTGTTATATACCATGAATCTATACCATATTTTTGGATCTTTTTTTTTATTATAACTCTTACTTTTCAAGACTAACAAGAACCTCATGTTGAGTATTTTTAAACTGCTTCCAGCTTTTACAAATCAGTTTTTGTTGCAGTAAAAATGGTCCATTTTCCTTTTATAGGAATCCAATTTTCATAAAAAAATTGTAGAGACTGCTTAGGTTTCCTTGAGTCTTTGAAAAATATTTTTCAGAGAGACTAACATTCTTGGTGGTTAGCAGAGTGATGTCATTTACTGACCGTTTCACCAAGGTCAGAGATGAGCTGGATGTGTGCATTATCCAAGCCATATGATTATTACAGTTTTGTTTTCTATGTGTATGGTATAGCTTAAGCTTTTTTTTCCCCCTTTCTTTGGGTACTTTAGTATTACCTTTTTGTGCATTAAATATACTAAATATTATACATAAGTTTTTCATTTTCATCTCATTTTTTCAAACATTAAATCATAGTTTATTGTACTTTGAAATATCATACTGGATAGAACTAATAAATTATTTCTTATTATAAAAATAATCTTTTGTTGGTCACAGTGTTGAATGCCTGTAATCCCAGCTACTCAGCAGTTTAAGGCAGAGGATCAGGAGTTTGAGGCCAGCTTGGCAACTTAATACAATTTTGTCTCAAAAAAAAACAAAAACCTTTCATCTGAATTTTTCTATATATGATTTTGCCTGTGGCTAAGATTTTCCATGTAAAATTAAGACTTGCTTTTTTCATTAATGTACTAATTATACTCAGCTATATAGTTTACAGTTTTTACTTGAGAAAAATAATAAAATTTCATATTCTATCTAGAAGGAATTTGTAGTATTTATAGAAATGTATAGTATTAAAATTGCATATTATGAGTTAATTTTATAATTACTCAAAAAAGAATTGGATTGTCTGCCTTATAACCCTTAATTTGGCCAAAGAAATTCTGTTAATATTGTGATTAAAAATAAATGTTTATAAAATTCTATTATGAACAAGTCCTTTACCTTTTTTAATTGATTACTCAAACCCTCTAATT